TAAGATTGGTGCGAGTCGTAGGTTAAACATAAATATTAATAATTTTGGTCTCAGTGCTTTCGTAATTCTTTTCATATTATGAAGATGAAAGGACATTAATCAAACTACTGAAGGCCTCGACCGACAGGAGTACCTAAAGCGTGATCATATTTACATAATGTTTTATGTATTATGATTAAATGTTCATATATAAATCAAAAAGAACAAAATGCGGAATATAAACATTGTATGTTTTATCTGTGTTCGGACCGTACTTAACTGTTAAACGACTAGAATCACACAAATAGGATAATAATAATAAAATTCTAAGCGATTTTGACGGAACTTTCAATGGCAGTAGCTGATGTTATAAAGAGTAACTAAGGCTACTTTTATTTTAGAAAAAGAATCGGGGTTCCGCGCATAAAAATTAAAACCCATGAAATTGTGAACAAAATCCATGTACCTAGGACGCACGCATGATAAAAACATACAGAAATAACTCCATATACAGCTTGACCCCCTTACATTTTTTAATATGCATAGATTATAGTTTAATGATACTTATAGAAGTTAAAATGTACGAATTGAAGCTATTTTATGTTATTTTATCTATTAGTACCTAGACGATCGAGTTTCGCTTGGCGTTTTTCAGAACCAAATCGTTAGACCCATTTCCGAGGTACACGAAATTTTATACTTGAATGGCAGGAAGATTCATAGGGTACTCCATATGATACTGATACCTACTGGTATCTGTCAAGGTGTTTGTAATTTCAACTCCCAAAAGGATGAGAATAGGGTTGAATATTTATATGGAAATAAGTTTAAACTATGCGTGCAAAGCCGCGGTCCAATGCTAGTTCATTGACAACCAATACCAAGTTTACCTAATGCTAACCTCTTCTACGGTTAACTAACCAAAATAGAACTATCAATGCTTAATGACGAGCTCAGTTTGTATATATATATCTCCTGCGCAGTTGGCTAGTCTCAATGAGATTGGCCGCCGTGGCCGGAATCGGTCAGGAGAACATCATATATGTATATGTGTAGTGTATCAATATCTGGTATCCATAACACTAGCCTCGTAGTTAACCATGGAACTAGATGGTGCTGGGTGTTAATGTCCTAACATATTTATATTTATTTATTTAACGCGATTAACAATAATCGACGCGAAGACATGCCACTGTGTGACAGTAATTAGCACTTATGTGTACAGTGCACACTATCTCAAGGTTCCAGGGGTGTACGAAGTGCTGTTAGAATAAAATCGTTTGATGTGGGGAAATATGGATTTGTGTAGTAGGTATATGAAAATGGGGGACTTTTTTTAGAAAACAATTATCAAAAATATCTTTTTTTTAACGTTGGGAAATGCATTAGGCATACTACCTTCATATATACAGGTGGCCATGTGGGCCTAACCGACTAGATAAGCCGGTACTACTCTCTAAAACTCAATGGAACCTCCCTCATCTTAAGGGGGAGTCGCGGGATCGCTTACGCACTCAACCACGACGCCCCGACGGCGGATCTGCAGACCACAACAGCCATGGGGTTGCTCCAACAGTTTACTCTGCTATCAGAGAAGTAGCAAGAGCATCCCGCGTGGCACACCGTCCACCGCCGTTGACCACCTCAGAGTGCGTTTCTTGGCTTTGCGCCCGGTTGATTTACCGGACGCTAATGAACGCGTCAACCACCACCAACCTGAACGCACATTGAGGAGGATTTGACACATTTGAAATGTATCTCCAGAGGCAACTAAAGACTGGAGTGGAAGCCTTTTTAAAATATCACAAAAACGTTTGAAAAATCCTTTTTGGAACAAAAAGAATTTAGCAAACACAAATCTATTGTATTGCTCTAATTTTGAGTTTACAGCGTTAAGAAGTAATAAACACATGGACTCACTCACAACATTAGCATTTGTAACAGTGTGATAAACCTTATAGCCTAACCTTATTGGATATTTTATTTTATTTTTCTTTTTAATTAATAGGTATTTACTAAATATTTCTCTTTTTTTTAATTTGTAAAACTTGAACAACAAGACCTAGCTAGCGGTTACAGGCGATTACTAAAGTATTTCTAGTTATCTACGATACTAACGCCGGTATCTGCGTCTCTTGCTCTTACTCTATTGTTCAAGTACCAGCTTCATAAGAATCTTAATTTAAGTCTATCAATTCAAGGCTTTAACCTAACAGACGACACGCAAATAACAGTTCAATTAAATATAATATGAATAACTGAAAACATGCTAATTCTGATGACGTCTTTTAATAGAAAATTTAGAAATTACAAGTGACTCAAGGTTTTAAAAACGTTGTAATATTTATTTTGTAACTCGTTTTAACACGTCTGTATAAGTTTAAAAAAAAATTGGGACATTAACACACAGCACCATCTAGTTCCATGGTAAGCTACGAGGCTTGTATAGATACCGGATAGTTGATACACTACACATATACATAAAAGTTTAAATACATACATATAAATATAAACATCTATGACTGGAGTACAAACATTCGTGCTCATTACACAAATAGATGTCCCCAGTTGGACTCGAACCCACGACCGCTGGCACAGCAAGTAAGGTCACTACAAACTGAGGCAAACGTGTCGTCAAAAGTTAAATTGTGACTAACAATGTTATCAAATTAAATCGATTTTAACCTGCTTCTAATTGTCATATCGACTTGAAGCTTTTTAAGTAAATACATGGAATCCTGATGACAATTTTTAATAGGTATTTAAAAGCGTTTTTAACAGGTATATATACGTTTGTCTGAATTTGTTATGGTAATCGATTCGCTCGGGTGCGTCTCTAGCAGTTTAGAAACGTATGTAAATTCGAATTTTGCGTAATTTTATTGGTTTTCGATTTCCGCGCTGAACCCCTAAATATTTCCGGTATAGAGCATTTTTATATATTTTTTTATAAAATAAAAAAAAAATAAAAAAATTATAAAAATGTTTAAAGTAAAAAATATTGTAAGGTAATTGGTGCAATTTTCATTTTGTTAATTGTGGGTAGGCTGTCTGTAACAACTATACCTTCGAGACATCTAACACCTCAGTCTCTCCCGTGACCATGATTGCTGTAAAGCATCCGAAACGTCAGGAACCAAAAATCCATATAAATCCGCGAAAAAATCCGAAAAGGTAGTTTTATTTAAAATAACTCTATGTACTTGAGAAAACATCGTTATTTTGAAACACACAGATAGACACTTCAATTTTATTTATATGTGTAGATGTAAACATAGTACGTACTCGTACATACATACCTACCTTTTGTGATGTACATATATATTAAATTAAAAGTTATTCAGTCAACGTTATTACACGTGTAGTATTTTGGTATAGTTCACAAGTCACAACCTCTAAACGTGACCTCTTCTTTTCATGTTACCACATAGTGCGGAAATGACTAATTCTAGAAATAGATATATTTAAATGTACTTTTGTTTGTATTAAAATTTAACTTGGTGTTTTAAGTCAAAAAATAAACATTGCAATGCGATACTTTCTTACATTTACGCGAATATTTGACATCTTTCTATACATATAATAAAATTGTAACAAAGCCGAATCTGTACATTAATTATTTTTTGGAAAATTTTATTGAAATAAGCATTATTATCGATACAGAGGCCGAATCTATAGTTTTTAGAATTTTTGTCTGTCTGTCTGTTACCGCATCACAGAAAAACCACTGGAGGGATTTTGGTGAAATTTGGTATGGTGATAACTGGTCATCCGGGTCAACATATAGGATACTTTTTACCACGGGAAAATATCTCATTTCTGAGAAAAATACGAACACTGCAATGTAAGAGTATACTAATATGTAAAAACTAAGAATTTGGCTTTTGGTCTTCTTAACGTGGGCGGAGCCGCGGGCAATGCTAGTTTTAAATAAAACTATCTTTTCGATTATTCCGCGGACTTATTTGACGAGATTATTATTGAGACGTCTAAAACCTTAGTCTCTCTCGTGACAATGATCGCTGTAAGGCATTCGAAGTGTCGGGAACCAAAAATCAAAATAAATCCGCGAAATAATTCCAAAAGATAGTTTTATTTAAAATTGCAATGCAAATTTCCAGTGAAATCTATACGCCAGTTTTCACGTGATACGTGAAATTGATTTTTTTTCCTGATAAGGAGATACTATGTAATCTGCTCGTGAAACCTTCGATTTAAATATGGCTATGCACCAAAATGTTGCTGATTAGTCTTAGATAACTATTTTTGTCACGACTTGTTTGTTCCTATGGCGCAGAAGTGCAGTACTTGCTTACGTAATATTTTGCATGAAGACAGTTTGAGAGAGAGTAACATTATATATCCTTCATATTTCGGCAAATGAAATGGCTGCCTAGATACTCATAATATGTAACTATTACCTACTATTTACTTTATTATTTCCAATTAGACGTTAGTTGCGCCTTGGTCATTACGACAATGATAATATGGAGAGATAAAAAAATTAATACTAGCGACTCACCCTCGCACCGCCCGGGTTCTTTCCTAGGGTGGACCACCCTTACCACTTAGGGGTATGAAAAATAGTTTACGTCCTATTCTCAAACCTATTGAATATACACACAAAATTTCATAAGAATCGGTCAAGCCATTTCGGAGGAGTTTTTTTTACAAACACTGTGACACGAGAATTTTATATATTAAGTAGATATAGCACAATATAGCCTTATATAAGTACTTAAGTAGTCTCTGCTTAGGTATGGTCCAAATTGTTATAATAATAATAATTAATCAACTTAGAAGTAAATTAATGAAATTTCGATATTTTTTGATTACTTTTCTCTATCCAACTGAAAGTTTATGGGTACCTATGTAAAAATGTGATACGTCCATCTCATACCAACTATAATCCACCATCAAGAACTGAGACATGAAGTTGGAATACAAACAAATCTAAGGAAATGTAAAACAAACAATTTTTATTTTTCCATTTATAATATCAGTATTGTTTTTTTTTTCAGGTAACATTCATAGGCAACAATATACCAGTACACCCCCACGTGTACTCTAACGGTCACATCTGCCTTTCGATTCTTACAGACGACTGGTCACCCGCACTGTCGGTCCAGTCCGTCTGCCTATCTATAGTCTCTATGCTTAGTAGCTGTAAAGAGAAGGTATGTATCTAGTTTCTGCGTTTAGTATCTATAAAGAGAAGGTATTCTGGTAATGCTTTATTATTTGTTTATTATTGATGCGAAACATCTATTGGCGCGCCTTGACAGTAAAACCGATTCGTATGCCGTGACAGCAAACGGCGTGACGCTGTCATGCCATCATGCCTCTTCTACGCCACCGCTCTCCACTCCCTTGTGTGTGCGCGCGCCTATACTATACACGCTCCATTGTAAAACAGTCTATTAAAAATACTTATATATTTTCTATACTATTTATAAATGTATATATTCTATAATTATTATAATTAAAATAATAAGAGAAATCTTTATTTCACTTCATATTTCATTATAGGTTGTTATAAACTATATTATTGTTCTGATTATGTGCTTTTTAGGCTTTATTTTTATTAAAATTTTTCGACGATTTTACACGAACTTCTGGAAGCTAAAAAAAGGGTACCTCTCTCAGCCTCAATGAGTAAAATTGTTGTGACCACAATATAAGTCATCTATTAGGGTTCTAGGAAGCCGATTAAAATATTTAAAAAATGTTTTGATAAGGTAAAAATACTTCGCAAAAAGTCGCTGGTTCTAAACTCGGAACTAAAGAACTTGTATGATAATTTCAGTTTATTGAAAAAAACATGTGTGTGTGTACTTATGTACGCACGTAAGAAGTTATACTTCTTTGGCGTAACAGAACAAAAATAGCTAGGGATATCATCCCGTATGTCACGTCACAACTCTCTGTTTGTTGTCGCTTTTTGGCTGACGGTGTGCGCGCGCATCTTAAGAATTTTACTCTTATATTTTTTTTCAAACGTGCCAAAAGAAGTATAATTTCAAAATTGTTTTATGCCTGACTTAATGACTTGCTTATTTTTTAACATACGTATGTTATATTGACACGCATAGCGTGTATGCTTAATATGATATTGCCATTACAATACGTAATTAGCGATATCACGCTTTAATTTTCATAAAATGTTCTATACCTACGCTCATTCGTTTTGTTTACCAGTTTTAACACACCTTCATATCAATTCGTTTCCACATAATTTTTTTTAAATTCAAAGCAGTTTTTAATATTTTTAATTATCATTATATTATATAAATTAATCATTTAAAAATCAGATTTTGGCTATATCAGATGCTGATTAATTATTTTAAATATTATTATTGTTTTTCAGAAGCGGCCGCCAGATAATTCATTTTATGTAAAGACATGCAATAAAAATCCTAAAAAAACAAAATGGTGGTATCACGGTATGTATTATTCATATCTTTTATCTTAAATTTACATAAAAATGTCATTGCAAATTTGATATCGCAAAACACTGTTATCGGGTAAACATGATAATAGTGTATTAGATTTGCATTGATATGACAAATTCGAATTTTTTTATGTGCGCATGTGTATCTATTTAAAACAACTTAACATATTTAGATGATATTCAACACGAAGAGAGTTTGTCCAGGATTTGAAACTATAATTATATAGGTATATTTATCTACCTTTTGGATAGAATCTCGAAAAACTAGTCTATACATATAATAAAATTGTAAGTAAGCCGAATCTGTACATTAAATATTTTTCGGAAAATCTTATTGAAATAAACATTATTATCGATACAGAGCCTGAATCTATAGTTTTAGAATTTTTGTCTGTCTGTCTGTTTCCGCATCACGGGAAAACCACGGGATAGATTTTTATGGAATTTAGTATGATGATAGCTGGTTATCCGGGTCAACATATAGGATGGTTTTTACTGTAGGAATTAGGAAAATATCTCGTCATTGAGAAATCTATACTAAATGTTAAAACGTAAGTTGGGACGAACCCGAGCGGAGCGAGGGTGAGTCGCTAGTGTTTATATACATGAATCTTTCTGTGTAGACGACTTTCTTAAAACTCGACAAACATAAGTTTAAATTACATTAGTCTTTTACTATGAAAACATATTTCACGGCCACGGTCTGCACTATATTAGTGAAATGTGGCGCCGATAAATAATTTTTTTTTCATACAAACAATTTAATCGAATTGTTAATGTATACTTAACGTCAAATAATAATTTTTTTCCTTTTATATTTCAGATGATTCAGTCTAACAACACATCGTGGCTGTATCGAGCACGGACGATAAATCTGATTTGTGATAAGTGTTATATCGATATCGATACATTATAACATGTATATACAAGTGAGTGCCGGCTTAGACAATGGTGCGAAATTGAGTGTTATCTGTGCTAAAGTGCTGTCCCTGTCATAAGTTATCTGTGAAAGTTGTCATTTGGTTGTCATTTGTCATTTCGCGAATTTTTGTTTTAGTTGGGTGACTATAAAAAGTGATTGAAGATCGGTAATAAAATGTACGTAAGTTGAATAAAATTATATATCCGACTTATTGTTAATAGTTTTATCGGTATTATCTAAACTGTGTATTTCATTTCGTAAAATATTAATATCTTATTCTGTAATATACTTAACTAAATGTTGGAGAATATAATTATATTTGAATAACAAAATTGCTGTTTATTTACATTACTCGCAAATAAAATAATATATTTTAACATAAAAAAAGTATCTTAAATTCATTAATTTTAAGTATCGTCACCTTACTATAAAACTTAATGCTCTGTTCAATGAGATTTTAAAATGTGTACTTTAAAAGACCTTAGCAATTAGCATATGTATTCTTAGGAATTTGAATGGTTTATACTTTATATAATAATAATAATTTTTTAATATGCAAAATTATCAATTTCGCTAAATAGCAAAGCCAGGCCGTGTAGTTATATAGTATATTGATAGGATATCAAATTGGGAAATATGTGAATAAAATATTGGTCCCCATTCATGTTTTTTTCATGGGCTTGTTTTACCATTTTTCTATATACAGATTACTGAACAGCTGAAAATGTATAAGTAATGAATGTTAAGACTAGTCATTGAATATGAAACGGTTTTTGAAGATATAATGTTGAAACAAGCTTTCGTATTTAAAACGTAATGTCGTTTATTATTACCTTATTTTCAATGTATTCTTTGTTCTGTGAAATAATTGAATTGTACAATTACTTATTATTTTGTAATCTTTGGTTTTTTTTTTAATATTTTATTTGTAATTCTTGACAAACATTATGATGGCTAGTAATTTATTTTATAATAACATTTAAATGATTATTTTTTATAGCATGTTTGCATTTTTGTGTTTTCATAGCATGGAGGCTAACAGTCTAAGAAACACTGTCGTTTTTAACTTAAAATTAATTTAAACTATAATATAGTTTAAACTAAATGAAATCACAGAAATGTAAACTTGTTTTGGGTGTTATCTACACAAGCATGAAACATACATACAATATAATAAGTACAACAATTATTAAGTACCAATAAATATAAATTGTCGTTGAGAGTAACCTTGCAAGCTGCATTCTCGATAGTATGATGAAATGCATATTTTACTGCATTCATAATAACATAAATTTCACTTTTAGGTATATTATTTCCTATGTTTTATTTGAAACTGCTCATATGTGTCAGTAAAAAAATATATAAAATATTATGTAATAAGTATTATACGCTACATTTAGGTGCGTTTCGTTGCAAAGCCAAAACTCATCCTGCTACAGTTACTTGTGATACTATGTACCTTCGTTGTAAATGCTATATTTTTAAATTTATATATATTAAAAATTGTCATGATGTCTGAATGTTTGCAATTTGTTTGCTTAGTGATTTTATTTGAAATTCCACATATGTGTGATATAATAAACAATGCAATATTCTGGGATGGACTGTCAATTAAACAATGTATATGTAATGCTTAAAGATATATAAAATGCAATATACAATAATAATGCTTTTGAATCACCTAAGTTATTTAATATTACAATAAACAATATGAAACTTATTTTACTTATTAATCACACACATTTGACACCTTCTTAAACTAAATAATAAATATGAATATATGGAAATCACAAAGGACAAAAATACATAGATTAGAAAGATCAAACTTCCATAATCGTAAGTAGATATTTAAATTAGCACTTTGTTTTACCCAATAGTTTGTTTCTATTTATATTTTACTCTGGACAGTGTGGAGTGTGAAGTTTTTACTTGGATCTGCAATATTTTTCAACAACAGATTAACAAAGGACAATGAATAATACAATAGGGTCTTGGACTGTAGTAAGAAAATGATGTGATGTTTTGTATAGTGGTAGTTTATGGTGCTAGAATTCATTATTAAAAGGAATAATTAAATAAAAGTCACGATTTTTCCTTATTTTTAACATAATTAATTTTTTATTTTAATATCAAAATCACGTGACTACAAACGCCAACTATGGTGCGTGACGTCACTTATCGTTGTCACAAGTGTCAAGTATAGTATTATATGATCTGTGCTAGTTTGTTGTATACACAGTTGACAGTGTAGTTTCGAAAACTCTGTAATCTCAAAGTTTTAATCGTTTAAGTAGGCACGCATTAAAGCAAAGAACTAACTAACTAATCGTTTAAGTAATATTTAAATTTACTTACGTTCCTGGTCAATACCATGGCGAACATACTTATTCGAGCTGACAACTCAAATCACGTATCGATGTCATGATGGTGACGGAATTTTTCGCTAAAAACCCTGATTTTATCTCTGCGGAATTCAGAAATATAATAACTGTCATATTGTAAGTACTAGGTATTAGACAAATTAAAAGGTGTAAAAATCTGATTAGTCTTAAACAATCGAAGGAACCTAAATAATCTCTAAGCATAACGTCATATCAAAAATCAGATTAATAGCATACCTACAGCAGTGACCAGTGTCGCACTCGCGGCTAGCAATATGTAAGTATAGTTCAATGAATATTTTATACAGTAATGCATACTTACATCAAAAAAAGCCTAACGTTTGTCAATACATTTTAAGGGACACATTTATATAGTCAAACACATACTTCATTTGCAATTGGCTGCAGTCGGGTAAAAATGCCCAAATTAATTAGAGCCTGACTGACGGCATTGAATTTTTTTGTTGTATTTTCAGGATGCTACGTGTTTAAGCAAAAAAAAAATAGTTATTGCGTTTAAGCAAAAAATTACTTACTTTTGCAGAGGTATGTTTAATTTTTTTGAATAATTTCAAATTATATTTATTTGACCTCGAAATCCCAGAGTCCGAAAATGAAAAAGCAGCAATTTATATATATTTTTTTATTTACAAGTCATCAAATTATTACGAAAAGTTACAATAGAAGAAAAACTATCGCATATTGCATTAGATGATTCTTTATAGCATAAATTGAAATTTAAAAAAAAAACAAAAATAATAAACATTATAGATACAAAAAATGTAAAAAAAAAGTTATAATTCCTATGCAATATGCGGTAGCTAACACCAGTCTAAAACATTCAAAATTTTTACAACCTATCCCTATCCTTTCGTTTTTTGCTATGCACACATTCAAAAATAATAATTTTTAGATAACGTTTTAACGTTCGCAATATATATGAATAAAAACCAACAAAGATATTTCGAAAAGAAACAGATCTTATTTATAATGTTCTTTCTAATAAAATAATGCGACACTAATTAATCTTATTATGTTTTTGATTAGTAGCAGTTACAGTAGTTCATTGATGTGAAACATCTGCCGTAACGGCAAACGGCATGACGCTGTCATGCCTTCATACCCCAATTCTACACCACTGCTCTCGACTCCCTTATGTGTGCGCTCGCTTAAACTATACACGCTCCATTGTAAAACACTATTAAGAATAAAATAAACGTGTATGTGTACTTATGTACGCACGCACGTAAAAAGTTATAAGATACTTCTTTGGCACAACAGACCAAAAACAGCTAAAGATTCATCCGTATGTCACAATTCTCTGTCTGTAAAAATTTTACTCTCATATTTTTTTCCAAACATCCCAAAAGAAGTATAACTTCAATAAATTGATTTTATTAACGAAACTATTTTTTCTTTATTTTACTCCGTATTTCATTATAGATTTATATTATTATAATATTAACATAGATGTTTCACATCTGCCGGGCATGCCGTGACGGGCAATTTTTTGTTGCTGTCTCTTAAACAAAGCGTGTTGGATATTATTTTAATTAGCTCTTTATTTTTGTCAGGGTTTCCCAGTTGGGTATATCAACTAATGTAAGTCAAACATGAAATTGCTGCCCGAAAGGCCGCTTAGGTGTCGCGCGTACTTCTATTTATCGCCATTACAACAGATCCAGAGAAGAAATATTTATGTATACTGTACATTGTACGTACATATGTACATAATATACGTATTATTAGGTAAAGGTAAAAATATTTTATATAAATTAAAATATATTTTTAAAATAAAAACACTTCATTATACAAACCTCAATGACTCTAGGACTTGTATTCTACACATTATTTAAAATACAACAAAGTACATGTTGTTATTCTATTTATAAATACACAGTAATATTTAATATTATGCGATTATTTTTAACTTCAAGCTATTTATTGTATCTTTAAAAATATATGATAATTTAGAAAAGGTGACTTTGAAGTACTTAAATCTATATTTTCCTTGCCTAATAAAAAAAAGTTAGAATAAACAATAATTGACTTTTTTACAAGATACAAAAAATATTGAGAAATTAAAAAAAGGACAGAATTATTATTTTTGTTTCATGACAAACTAAGTATCTCATGCAATTGATAACACATCAAAATATAATAAATAAAGTATTTATATAATGTAAACGATTTATCATCAAAACTCAATTTAAAAAAAAACATATTAAGACTAAATAAAAAAAACAACCAATAGTTTCTAATTTTAAACATGAACATATGTGTTCAGTGTTGTATTATTCATTCCCCACCCTCTAAGGCCACCGCTGAGTTTAAATTAACGTACTGTAGAATATTCAGAATATATACATCGTGAATGCAAGTTATTATGGGAACAGATCTGATAGTGTCGTGAATTGATATGTAAGATTAAATAAAGATATTTTAGAATCTGTTACAACAATTAAAAAATTACTAGATACACAATCCCATGCAAAAGTTCTCTTAAAACTGTGACCAATTGTGTTTAGGTAATTATCCTAGTTGAAATAAATATACTACAATGTAAATTGAACCTTAAATGCAATGCTTGATTGAAGTTGTTTTCACAAAAAAAAAATTAAAAACGCGCTCACACGTTCAAATGAGCGCTCATTAGGTGAGTACATTTTTTCATGCTGATTGTGTATCTAGTACTTTTTTGATCGATGATCTTTTATGACTTCCCTTAATCCCAGAAAACAACCTATATTATTAATTGGCATAAATGATACTCACTTATATGTGTAATAAATTTGAATGGATCATATTATACCAAAAAAACGCGTGTGTGTGCAATTCACACATGGTAGAAGTGAAACTTCAGAAAAGTAAACTACGAGAAAATGAGATGAATACAGTGTATCAGAAGTAGGATAATTGTAAGGTTCATTTTTTTTATAATATTTTTACCAACCTCAAAAGTTATTTTACATTTTATTGGACATAAATATACATTACATATTATTCAGTATTTAATTTATTATTTCTCACTTCCTATGTAATGTATTCTATCTCAAATAACAATGGTTACCATGGCAACATGGCAATGTATTCTATCTCATCCTCTCGCTGGCTGAATCCTATATATTTATGTTTGTCTCTTTTTCGTGCCGGATTTTTGTTTCATCGAGTTTCAAATCACAATGATTCTAAAGAAGATTCACTTCCAAAAAGCAGAACCATTCACTTTTCACTGAACAATATCCCAACCAATATTATAAATACAAAAGTATATCAATCCATTCTTTTTCCCATTTCCTTTAGTCACAAAAGTATAATAAGCAGGTTCCACTTGATAACTCTATTCTGATATTTCCCAACGAAACTTTTAAGTTGCCGGCATAGATTTAGGCAATTTACTCAAATAGTAATCATGATCATATCTCGTTACTAAGATACCATCCGTTACTTTAACATTACCATCTGCTGAATAATCAATGTCCTGCCCTTTTAAAGTGGTCATTTTTCCTTCAACAGATTTTATAATTGCATTACCTGCACAGAGATCCCATTTTTTTATGGCAGTTGCATGAAGGTACACATCAAATGTACCATTGACAACTCCCATAACTTTATCCCCAGCTCCAGCTGCTAATGTAATAGTTGTCTTTGGACCGAATGCTTCTTTTGCTATATCAGCAACTTTGCCCGGGTGAGATCTGGATATGACAATTCTTGGGTGTTCTTTGTTCTCTTCTCTCTGAAATACAAGTTGTATAATTACAGTTTTACTTATATTTCTAAGAATTCCTATTAAAAAAAAATTGTGTTGGTTTCTTTAGTTTTATCTATACATACTAATATTCTAAAGAGGCAGTTTGTTTGTATGTTCGTTTGAACATGCTAATCTCAGGAACTACTTATCCAATTTGAAAATTTTTTTATGCATTATGTAGTCCATTTGAGGAAGGCTATTAATTATTATCATCATGCTACTACCCAAGGGAACAGAGTAATAATCATATATGTTAACAAATCTGGTATACTTCTATACATTATGGTAAAACTATAACATAATAATATATTTTGCATAAATACATATATTTATAACATAAAGCCAAAGAGTTTTTTTGTAGATTAAATGCGGGTGAAGCCACAGGTTCCGCTAGTTAAACTATATTAAAAAGAAAATTTTATATATTATTTTAGGGTTTTATTATATATTTATATATATGTACTACTACTATAATATTTTCCGACTCATGACACTGGTAGCTTATTTGCATAATATGTGATACAATTCATAGCCCATAACATATCTTAATAGTCTTCTTATCTATTGGTCAAAACTGTAAGAAAACCTTTAAAGTCGTTTCTGAGATTAACCTGCACAAACACAGGTCAGTTCAGTGTCACTTGCAGTCACACTTTAATTTATAATATGTAGTGATATATGGACAGTTACATAACCAAAATTCATATCTTTAAACAATTTTAAATGTACACCAGCAGTACTTGTTAATATTATAAATTATACTTACATGTTGGATAGTAGGAATGTTGTGAGATGTTTTCTTAGTATACCAACCCCAGAATGTGCGAGGTGGAAATGGATAGTGTATGACACCAACAATTGGCACTCCATTAATAGCAACACAGACCATCGTTGTCACATAGTGATAGAGACCCTCTAAAAATTAGTAAAATACATTATTAAAGATTGTGTGTATTGTTGTTTTCAAAAAATATATAATTTTTAATTTTAATATTCTGTAATTAAACCTACAAATATAAATGAAATTGTTATATTTTACATAAAAGAATAATGGGGTATTAATGATTAATCAGTTAAGCTACCCTTTAAATGTAACATAATATATATTACACATTTACTACAATATTAAACTCTTATCCTCTTAATTAAGTTTTTGCAATAGTATTTGACTTTTCACCTGTGTATTCCTGTGTAGCATCGAGAGGATCAATCCAAACTGTCACATCCTTCACAAATACATGTTCGTCATTCATATAATCAATTGTTCTGTGGTCTGTTGGAGTTGATTCAAAGTCTATCACTTCTTGATTTTGGCAGCTAGATTCATATTTTGAATGTTCTTCAGAAATTATATTTAACTTTGGAAATGTTTTTTTAAGACCGTAATACATAACACAGTGAGAAGCGTAGTCAGCATCGGTCACAGGATCGTTTGCACCCTCCAGAGTTTTCCCTTTACTTTTTATATTTAACTCATGATTTTTACCTTCGATCACTTTTCTTCCGCCTCCCTCTGCTGCATATATAGCTGCTTTTAGCAGTGATTTTATGTTTATTAAGTCATTTTTTTCTGTAGGATATCCTGAACCACCAGACCGCCAATAAATTATTAGAAACAAGATAAATATTAAAGTGAAACATGCAAATTTGTTGACTCGTAAAGTGCCACCGAAATTCATAGTGTATTTTCTACCAATTCAGCTTTATTTTAATGTGACTTTAGAATAATTTCATTTTCAAATCCAGTTTGGTGAATTTATTTGTGTCGGACAAGTGACATTACATTATTTTGACTTTTGACATACCTAATAAAACAAAAAAGTTCATGAATTGTAGATTCATTACAAACTTCAAAAATTAAAGTTGAAATCTATGAAAAGTATTCAGAAAATATAATTATCTTGCGTTAATTTAATGAATGTTCACTTTATTGAAATTATTGAAAAATATAATAATATTTCAATTCAATGGGGAAGATTTTTCGAAAGGAGGGCCCCACACGTATAACCTATTTACATTCAGTCTGACGTTATGCAATTTATTATATCTCTTTTGTACCTGCTTTCAAGAAATCTTCCCCATGGCTTCAAAGCATGCCAGTTGCGCACAGATTCTTTTAATTGTTAATGGCTTCAAAGCTAATAATATTTCAATGTTCTTTGTTCTGTGGCTTATATAGGTAATAGGCATGCTATTTGGGCACAATTTACTTCGCCAATGTCGTGTAGAATGGAGAAGACACGGTTGACGGTAGAGATTGAGATTTGAGAATTCTGAACTGTACAAGACACAATGACAATACTCAATAGTGACATTTGACTTTAACATCTATCAAGTCGTCAAGTTGTCTTATTGACAGCTGATAAATCGAGTGTTCGCCGTTCGGCATTGAGCCGGTGATTTATTCCAATGATTTATTTGCTGACCGCTGTTTGAAGTCTGAACATAGTGATTATTGAAAACTGTCTACATATTTTTAAACTCTCAAATCTCAATCTTTATAAAAGGTTCGGTCTATTAAGACGTCAATAATTAATAGCAGCAATGATTTTAAAAGCCATGATTGATCCTGTAAGTAATTTTAACATGAATGAAAGGTTACGTTCTTTACTAGTTCCTATAATTATTTATATATACTGTTTACTATTTTTTTAGATGATTTGGTTGAAGATGCTCATCGTATTCCAAGTCGTTGTCGGCTCTGCATATTTTTATTTACGGATGAGAAAACCTAAAAAACCTGAGGATAGATTAACTAAAAAAAAGTTATTGGAATGGAAACCTTTACCATTAGTAGACCCCAATGTGGAAGTAGACAAGCCACCTTTAATGGGGAAAATAGATGATAAAGTTCTTAATGTAGGTGCTACAAGTTTTTTGTGCTTTGATAAGGAGCCTACAATAACGGAAAAAGCTATTACATCTCTTCATAAATATGGAGTTGGTTCATGTGGACCAAGAGGTTTCTATGGCACTATTGATGTTCACTTAGAGTTGGAAGAGAGATTAGCAAAATTCTTACAAGTTGAGGAAACTTGTGTCTATTCATATGGATTTTCAACAGTTGCAAGTGCTATACCAGCCTATGCCAAGAAAAATGATATTATATTCGCGTAAGTATTTTGTTATTAATTTAAAAAAAATATTATAAACTATTTGTAGTTTGATTAAAAATATTTTTTTCCATACAAACGTCACTACCGGGTTCTTTCAGAACCCTTTCTTTAAAGCATATTCTGGAAAGGAATGAGCTGTAAAAAATTTTTTATTACATTTTTTCTGGGCATTGATGAATCAATCAGGAAAAGCCACTTTATATATTTTATAGTAGATCATTATATTTGGCAGTGGTTTATGTATGTGTATGAATCTTATGGTTTTCCTTTCAAAACAGGAAATTATATAATATATTGTATACTATTAAATTATGTAGGACTATTTGATTATTTATATTATATATTATTATGATAAATATGATACATACTAACTATAATAATTTATCTCATAACCATTAACATAATCACATTAAATTGAATAAAAAAGATATTATTCTAAACCTACAAATAATACATAATGAAGAATGCATAAAAAAATTTACAAACATTTTTTTATATATGTTTATTTTTATTATTTTGGTGAATAATTTGCATATCGTTAACCAATAGATCTCATTTTGGTTAATAGCATAATATTATAAATAAAAAAATGAATAAAATTAATATAACCACAGATCATATAAGACTATACTAGTACAGTTAGTGCATCCCATAAAAAATATTCAGGCATCGCTAATTCAGGCTACTGAGTGGGTTATTTTTTTTCTTAAAATGAATAATAGATGGTGTAAGTGAAAATTGAAAAAAAGGCAACATCTAGCTCGTCTAGTTGTAAATGTTCTAAATGATAGATGTTGATAAAAGTGTCTGTCTCCGAGCTGCCGTTGCACAATGTTGTATTTACCTATGTAAGGCCTCTCAAGGCCACTATGGCAATAACAAACTATATTTTGAAAATATTGTCTTTGAGTGGTACAAAAAAATGTATAACTATGCACTTTATCTTTGTATAACGACCAGCGAGTATTGGAATTATTTCCAAAAAAAATATGTTTGTTGTCTTTGTAGGTACAATTCATTTATTTTACGATGTAGAATAGTATTATTGGATGAATTTATTATGGATTTTTTTAAATTTACGTTTAGTCATACATTTATTTCTTTTACCGATTTTTTTTTAGCTCGTAAGGAATCTAATCTTGATCTTTATAAAAGAAATAAGATAAAAAAAGTATAAGTTAAAATATACAATAGGTACTCCACTTAACTAAAATTAACAGTAAGCACCTATATAATTATTAATGACATAGTTGCTCTATTTTATATTTAATTTATCCTCATAACTATATAAGGTTACTCATTTTGAATAATTATTGTTAATTGTAATGATTTTTTATAATAATCATGAATTTTAACTTCTAATATTTTTTCATTAAATAATTAATTAGTGATTTAGATTGTAGTAATGAGGTATTAAGTTAAATTTATAGTTGTTTTTTATAATAAAATTCCAATTTAAACATAATTATTAGTTAATTTGAGTGTGTTATTGTATTAGAATATTTTATTTATTTATACTGTATTTTATTTAAATTGTAGCAGTTGTTTAAGGTAATTTTAGTTTATCCTTTACAAACAAACATACAAAAAAAAATTTCTTTATAATATTATTATAGACTAGTATATGATTCAGCCTCGCTCCGCTCGGGATCGTGCCTAGTTACGTTTTAACGTTTAGTATAGATTTCTAAGAGATGAGATATTTTCCCGCAGTAAAAGTATCCTATATGTTATGGACCCGGGTAACCAGCTATCATCATACCAAATTTAATCAAAATTTGTCCAGTGGTTTTCTCGTGATGCGGTCATAGATAGACAGACAAAAATTCTAAAAACTATAGTTTCAGCGTCTGTACCGATAATGTCTATTTCAATAAGATTTTCCAAAAAATATTTAATTTACAGATTCGGCTTAGTTAGAATCTTGTTATACATATGTATAGATTATAGTTAGAGGTTTATTGCAGGGATGAAAGAGTTTGGTTTGCAATCCAGAAAGGGATTGATGCGGCTCGAAGTACTGTGAGATACTTCAAACACAACGACATGAGTGATCTTGAGCGTTTACTTGAACAAGCGTTACAAAAGAAAGAATTAAATCCCAAGAGAAGGGCGTTCTTGATTGCTGAAGCTATATATTTCAATACTGGAAAAATGTGCCCTTTGAGAAAGCTTGTTGAATTGGCAAGGAGATATAAATTGAGAATTATGTTAGACGAAAGTTTGACTATTGGAGTAAGTAAAGTTTTAATTATATATTGTTTTGTGTAAAATATATCAATTTAGGTCTGTATTAACGGTTAGTATGGAATAGATAGACCATACCTACATTATATGTACATGTGTATGATGAGTTGTTGTGGGTTGTACTATAACATGTTTTCCCGTGGGTATGAGATAATCTCCCGCGGCAAAAAGTAGCCTATGTCACTCTCCAGCCTTGCAACTATCTCCACACAAATAATCACGCCAATCCATCACTGTGTTTCGACGTGAAAGAAAGACAAACATACACACACTTTCACATGTATAATATTAGTATGGATAGTAATTTACAAGACATTGGGCTAGAATGTTAAATAACATTCTAGCCCAATGTCAACATGTTTAATAGCATCTAACGTAATGCTTCCACCAACAATTAATTAGCATCCATAAAAGCAATGAAAAAGAGGTTCTTGATCTATTTGCTATACATTATATTTGTTAGTATTTAATATATGAAAACTATTAGTTAAGCTGCTTTTCAATGTAAATTATATAATAAAAATGTCCTTTTATAATAACAAAAACATAATGTGCGATCGAATTTTTAAAACAACATTTAGTAAACAAGGATATACTTATAGTATATACACTAGCGAATAGCTCTCGCTTCGCTCGGGTGCGTCTCTAGGTCTGTTTTTTTTTTAATGGAAACCCTAATTCTTTATCTAAAATAAAAGTAGCCTATGTTACTTATAACATCAGCTATCTGCCAGTGAAAGTCCCGTCAAAATCAGTCCAGCCGTTTCGGAGAGTAACCGGAACAGACAGACAGAAAAAAAAGTGTTTTTCATAAGAAAAGCATCGTATATAATTTCATATGCATTTAGTAAAAAGCTGTTATTTTGACATTACAAACAGACACTTCAATTTTATTTATCTGTATGTATAATGTTGGTTACACTATTTGACTATGAAGAAGAAGAGAAGTGCAAGTGAAGTGTATTTATAATCTCATTATACTGTTTGCTTTGGTTTTTATTACCATATATGTTAAACCATTTTTCATACTAAAAACTCTTACAATAATAACAATTAATATATTCAATTATTTTCAAAGGTAATCGGTAAGCATGGCCGTGGTATAACAGAACATCTAAACGTGCCTCGAGACGAAATCGACCTGATTGTGGGCTCTCTAGAACATTCCTTCGCAACTATTGGTGGATTTTGCGCGGGAACACATTTCATTGTGGAACATCAAAGATTATCTGGATTAGGTATGTTGATAAATGTTTTTTTTTTCTAGGATTATTATATTAAACTAGCGATTTAACCTCCTTTCACTAATTCCTTTTCTAAAATAAAAGTAGCCAAGTCAGTCCTTATAACATCAGTGAAAGTCCCATCATAATCGGTCCAGCCGTACACGTTTCATCCTTGCCGCGATATGTACATCATTATATATCTTTATATATATATATATATATATATATAATTCTTCTGTGAGTGTGTATGTCACTGAACTTCTCTCAAACGACTGGACCGATTTTGATGAAATTTTTTGTGTGTGTTCAAGGGGATCTGGGAATGGTTTAGATTCACAATTTGAATAATAATTTTCATCAAAATGGTCCAGAATGTTTTAGCTTATTAAAAAAAGTTTGAAATTTTCAAATTAGAGACGTGTAGACAGGACAACGTCTATCGGGTCAGCTAGTGTATGTATACAGCACGATACTATTTCCTTCGTTAACTTGTTTTCATCTTTTTAGTTAGCTTTTATGCAGTCGGGTTTTTTATTTTTATATTTTAACTAGCATTGCCCGCGGCTCCGCCCGCGTTTAGATGACCAAAAACCAAATTATTAGGTTGTACATATTAGTATACTCTTACATTGCAGTTTTTGTATTTTTTCTCAGTAATGAGATATTTTCCCGCGGTAAAAAGTATCCTATATGTTGACTCCGATAACCAGGTATCACCATACCATATTTCATCAAAATCCCTCCAGTGGTTTTTCTGTGATGCGGTAACAAACAGACAGACAGACAAAAATTCTAAAAACTATAGATTCGGACTCTGTATCGATAATAATGTCTATTTCAATAAGATTTTCCAAAAAATATTTAATGTACACATTCGACTTGGTTACAATTTTATTATATGTAAAGATTTTTTTTATCTACAATATCTAATGCTATTCTATTAGGAATTTCCCCCTACATTATAAACTATTTATGCAGTTTTTTTTGTTTAATTTTCCTTACATTATATTTTGGTGTTTGTTTATCATTTGAAATAACCCAAGAGTTTCCATGTTACGTAATAAGGAATAACATATTGAAAATTGTTGACTTATTATTTGTTATGATGTCCATCTTTGATAATTGTATAAGGATAATTTGTGGAGGAAATATTAAATTGCTTTAAAACTAAGGTTGAAACGTCTGGTTATATATTATTTTGTACTGATGTTTTTAATTTATACTAATACTAGCATTGCGCGCGGCTCCGCCCGCGTTCAAATGAGAAAAACCTAATTCTTAGGTTTTACATAGTAGTATACTCTTACAATGCAGTTTTTGTATTTTTTCTCAGAAATGATATATTTTCCCACCAGCTATCACCATACCAAATTTCATCAAAATCTGTCCAGTGGTTTTCTCGTGATGTGGTAACAGACAGACAGACAAACAAAAATTCTAAAAACTATAGATTCGGCCTCTGTATCGATAATAATGTCTATTTCAATAAGATTTTCCAAAAAATATTTAATGTACAGATTCGACTTGGTTACAATTTTATTATATGTATAGATAATCCCATCCCATTAATATTATAAATGCGGAAGTTTGGATGGATGGATGGATGGAGTTTGTTACTCACGCTAGTTGAAATCTTGAACGGATCTGTATGAAATTTGGCACAGAGATAGATTATAGTCTGGAATAGCACATAGGTTACTTTTTATCCCGGAAAAATGTACGGTTCCCGTGGAGTAGTTTTGTTTTTGTTTTTCACTAGGGAAAAACCCGAGAATAACGAGACTGCTTACAAAACTAAGAATTGTCAAAACCACAAAATTTAAGTCTCGTATGAAACCTTTCACACGAAAAAATCACAAAAATATTTAATTCTTGATAATTTAACTATGCCATTAATTAGCAATGTTTTAACGATTATTACAAAGCTCTTGTATTTCATCGGCTTTGGCTAAAGCCCTAGGTTTTGTATACTCATTTCCACTAAGTATTTTCTTTCATACTTGCGTGTTACAAGTAACAAATTCTTATCTATGGTACTACGGGAAATGATTTCGAGGTTCCAAATATTGAGGTATATATATATATATATATATATATATATATATATATATATATATATATATATATATATATATATATATATATATATATATGGTTAATGGGTTCACAAATGATAAAGATTAACATGCACCTCCTTTTTGAGGTCGGTCAAAAAGATAGAGAAATATATAGAGTAATGAATAACAATTTACGAAAACGTGACAATATTTTGACATTGCACGTACAGATGTAACTACCTACTGATCTGCCTGTATCTATAGATATAAATATTTGCTAGTCTGTCTGTTACAAATTATTTTTATTATCATCGAGAATGCATATTATTATATTAATAAAATTTTATTTTAATTTTCTTTTAAATAACACAATGGTAATTTCAGGGTACTGCTTCAGCGCCTCGTTGCCTCCCATGTTGACACAAGCCGCCATCACCGCACTTGATATATTAGAGGCAAAGCCCTCCCTTATTAGCGAATTGGATAAAATCTCTAGGAAATTGAACATGTGAGTATTTTATTAATATTGTAAAAACAAAAGTTTGGGAGTATCACTCAGTTTTACACAAATTTCAATGGAATCCCTACCTCAAAAACCTCATTCGGAATATAAAGAACATTTTAAAAAACAAATAAGCAGGGCCATGCCTCATACTTTTAGATAATGCTTCATACCCCTAGAACTAGATAATTTTCATTAGGGTTCCGCAGCTCAAAGGCAAAACAAAATCTTTATAATTTGTCCGTCCGTTCGTTCATATGTCACATTAATATTACTTAGATTCTATTGGAGCTATATTACTGAAATTTAGGTTTATCATGTCAATTGCTAGAAAATTCTGTCAAATTACTATAAGAAGGGGTCCTTCAGAAAAGTTTGAGTACATATGAGTTGACCATGACAGTGTGGGGTATTTGTAGCTCTAAATGCCCTACGTTGTGCCGCCTCTTTGCCTCATAGCACCGCACGGCCTTGTAAATAAGTTAAATCGGCTGCAATTCTCAAGTAGTGTGCTTACCAAGAAACAGCACTCCATTTTTATTAATATAGAAGAAAATAACTTTTGAAGTCACCGATCAAAAAAATACTAGATACACAGTCAGCGACGAAAAAATATCCACACTAAATGAACGCTCATTTGAACATTTGAGCACTTTTAATTAAAAAAAATGTAAAAACATCTTAAGCATTGCATCCAAGGTTCAATTTATATTGTTATATATTTATTTCAACTAGAATAATTATCTAAACACAATTGTTGATAGTTTTAAGAGAACTTTTTCATGGGACTGTGTATCTAGTAGGTACTTTTTTGATCGATGTTTGAAGTTAACTTGTACTAAAAATAGATGTTATTTTTTTTCAGAGCTCTAGCCAACCTAAAGCATTACACATTCAGTGGTGACGAACTGTCACCTGTCAAACACATATACGTCAAAAACTCAGATTTAACCAACAGTCAAAAACAAACATATCTCAAAAACATCACAAAATATATCTTAGAAAAAGGCATTGCTATGACAGTAGCAGCGTATGTGAGAGATGCAGAAGTCAACTGTCCAGAGCCATCTATCAGATTGGCCTCAAGTATAAAATTGAGTGATGAAATTATATATCAAATATGTTCTTTATTGGACGAGGCATATGAGAAAGTTGATCCTCAAACTGATTTGAAAGCTTTATAAACAATTAATCTACATTTGTTAGTTAATTTTGATATTTTATTCAAAAAGTTTGCTTGTTTTAACTAAAAATTATCTAAAAAAAATATTCTTATTTATCACATGCTGAGTGCCAAATAAAAAAATATAGTAAATTAATTGTCCCTTCAACATTATACTTTCTTAGATTTACGCGAATATTTGACATTTTAAATTCAACTATCTTTTCGGATTTTTTCGCGGATTTTGCTGTAAAGCATTCGATTTATATAAAATTTTCCTTTAACTTCAAATTTCATACATTAATTACGTGAGCAGTTTTTCTGTTAATTTAGAATACGGGGTGTATTCCCTAGATGAGATAAAGTGAGATTTGGTAAGACCCCCTCCACACTCCTCCTTCCACGTGGTCTATTTTCATATAGCATAAAAATAATACAACGTTCAATTACTCTCGAAATATATGTTTTTAATAATATAGCCATTAGATTTTTCAGCGTGTAAAATGGGGCACTTCAAAGGAACTGAAAGAATAATTGAATATGTTTTTATTATCTGTATGGAAATACCTATAGATTCTTTTAGAGTCGACCGCGACGTGAAATTTTCAATTATCTCAATTTAAGTATCTCAGTTTAAATGTAATTTGATGAGATTTTATATGAACCAAGCCCCCCCCCCCTCACCCCTAACCCTCCTATAAGCTCAAGTGATTAATATATAACCCCACTTACTGAAAACAAAATCAAACCTATCCCACGGGAACCGTACATTTTTCCGGGATAAAAAGCAGCCTATGTGTTATTCCAGACTATAATCTATGTCTGTGTAAAATTTCATCCATATCCGTTCAGCCGTTCTGGCGTGAAAAAGTAACAAACATCCATACTCACAAACTTTCATATTTATAATATTAATACGGATGCATAAGCTAAAGTAGCTTATAAGTAGCATACTAAGTATTATACTTATATTTCAAAAAGTACCATAGTAATCAGAAATGGCGATAAATAATTCGTAGTAACCATCATTCCTTTATTTTTTTATTTATTTAATATAATTAAGTTAATTATTTTGTAAGTGCGCAAATATTGTGTCTCAAATTATTATATAGAAATATAATTATTATGTATTAAATACGTGAAGGTTTTAAATACATATATGTAACAAAAATATAAAATTATTAATTATTTTAAGCTTTTTACTATTCAAAGTTATATTGAAAAGGAAAGTCTCTCTTTAAAACTCAATGCTTAAACCATAGATCAAAAAAGTACTAGATACACAATCCCATTTAAAAGTCCTCTTAAAACTGTCACTAATTGTGTTTAGATAATTATTCCAGTTGAAATAAATATAATACTTAAATGCAATACTTAAAGTTGTTTTTACAAAAAAAAAAAAGAAAACCGCGCTCAAATGTTTAAATGAGCGCTCATTCGGTGAGGACATTTTTTATCACTGATCTAGTATGTACTTTATTGAGCGATGGTTTAATTGCTTTTAATGCTTATATTTTATTCAAAATGTAATTAAAAATACTTTCTTCGATTTACGCGAATATTTGACATTTTAAATAAAACTATTTTTTTTTTTTGATTGCTGTAAAGCATTCGAAACGTCAGAAACCAAAAATCTTATTATGATTTTTGGTTGGAAAAAATCTCAAAAGATAGTTTTATTTAAAATATACTTAATAACTCTGATAAAGCACCCCATATGCGTTTAGATTCTTATTTTCTTTCTTCATATATATATAAAGAAATGTCAAATATTTATAATTAAAAAATTGTTACGGCTTTACATAATTTTTTAATTTGTATATTTTATACTCATATAATGAACAATAAACAATACAATAAGTATTTTATAATTAATTTTTGCAGGTATTTTTTTTTTTATTTTATTTAGTATATAGACAATAAAATAAAATGCACTTATATTATTGGTGGTCTCTAGAGGTATAATGAACAATTCCATGAAAGATGATAAATATATAATTATAATATAATTAAGTGTTGTTTTATTTAGTCATAAATACTACAAAAGTGAACGCATTATTTTGTGTTTATTTTTTATTTAATATTTTACTAACTTAATGATGGTTTAAGTTTAAAACTTACTTTAATATATAATTCTACATATTAAAAGGCATCTTCTGTGCGAGCTGTGTTTAAGTTACATACACACTAAAAATTCAAACCTACTAATGCTACCTAGTGCTAACGTAATATCCTATTTGTCCTAAAGTGGACTCGAACCCGCGACTTGTCTAAACTACATACCAGTCGCAGTCCTATACTCTATATTATAAATAGTTTTTTTTTAATATAAGTTGTATATTATATTTTTGTAATCTCTTAGAAGTCTGTATTTTGATACCCCACTCGATTGATTTGGACGAAATATTTTTTTTCATAACATAACGTAATATTATGTCATTTTAATTTTTAGTAATAAAAAATATTTTTACGATGAATGAATCATCAAAATCGATTAAGCCGTTTAGTAATTACGAATGAATATAGAATCAGACATACATACATACAGGTCTACACACATAACCCTCCTTTGGGCTTCGCCGATGTCGGATAAAAGAACTTATTTTTAATCTGTTACCAATTCATCACTCATATGGCAGTACCCGACGTTCCTTTTAAATTCAGTATCGTCTTCTTTATGCAGTGGTTTGCGTATTTCTATCAAACGACGATCAGTTTCTAGTGCTTGGTTTTTGTGCTCCAAGTCTTTCATCACTCGTTGATGATGATTGTAAAGGCCGTGGTAAGTAGCCCTAAAAATATATTAAAAGAATATATTGCCGGTTACTACAAGCAGATTTTCTAGCTGCAATTATAGACCTAACTTTGATCTTAAAAATTAAAATACTACCTTATAAGTAGTATTTAAATAAGATTCATAAAAGTACAAATAAAATATAAATAAATATGTTGGGACATTAACACACAGCGCCATCTAGTTCCAGGGTAAGCTACGAGGCTTGTGTTATGGATACCAAATGATACACTACACTTGTATATAACTTTAAATACATACATATTATAAATAAGAGTACAAAAATTCATGCTTATCACACAAATAAATGACCCCAGCAGGGCTCGAACCTGCGATCACTGGCACAGCAAATAGGGTACTACAAACTGAGCCAAATGTGTTGACCAAAGATGATAAAATTAAAATTATTAAACATCCCTAAGTAGGATTGTAGACTGTTGTCGTTAGTTCCAAAAACCCCACTAGGGCAAATCCAACCGGCAACCACCACTTGCAGTTATTTTTGACTGACTTCAAAATGTACTCAAACTTGAAAAAATTTTTTTTTAGAAAAAGATGTACTTACAATGCGTCTTCTAACTTCTTTTCCAGTAAGTTAGAACTAGTATGAACTCTCTCGTACTCTTCTATCAAGCCACGCATTGGTTTATCCTAAAATGCATAACTTCATTGTAGGTGCCATAATACAATATTGATCTAATTTAATTATTATTAGCAATGGTAGCCCAGTGGTAACGCATTCGCTTGGGAAACCGAGTGAAGTGGGTTCAGATCCCGGGTCTCGCATTTCTGATATTTTCATGTGCGAATCATTTCCAACATGATTACCACTTGCCATGCCTTGTGTGAGGAAATCTGTATCTGAGAGAACCTAGCAAGTTTTCGAAAGACATGTGCAGTCTGCCAACCCGCACTTGACCATCGTGGTGGACTGTGGCCTGATCTCCCTCGTATTGAAGGAAAGCCCGTGCCCAGCAGTGAGACGTTAAAAAGGGCTTAATACATGATTTTATCTGTCTTGTAATTATTTTTAACTATCGAAGTTTTAGAGTGTGAAATGGTGCAGGAGTAATAGTATCAAATCGCGAGTCGCATAGCGCCTTTTCTAGTACGCTCAGCTCGCAAGCTTTCGTGTGTTTTCATAATAAGTCCCAAAAGTTTTATTAGTATATTTAATATTACAATGAAATGAACAAGCATATTTCTTCGCTCTGGCTATATTCCTTCTTTGGGCACCCTAAATTAGAAGTTCTTTTTTTTTATTAATTATAAAAATTTAAGTGAAATATAGCCAAAACATGAAAGAATTATTAAAATATTTCAACAAATGAAAAAGTTATGAAACTTTAAAGTTGCGGTTGCTGAATAATTTCGTGACGTGACCCGACCTGAACGACCGAAATTCATATTAACTTCTGTCATTTATAGATTGATTCCAAAAAAAAACACAGATTTATTAGTTTTGATCTTTATTTTAATTCCATTACGTTAAATATGATATTATCAACATCATGAAACTTCTCCGATTGTTGAGTGTTAGGCAACTAATAGGCGTGACTAAAAACAACCATACACTCACTTTTGAATTTCTAATTTTATTAGGGTTGATAATTTGTTTAATTTTAATAATATTCTCATATTATGTTGTTGTTAGTTTAAGTTTTCATATATCCCGCCATTTTCGAAATTCATATTTTCCGCGGAAGAATGGAACAGAATACAGATTGATACTTGCTATTTTCACAGATTATGTATAAGTTTTGAACAGTGCCAACATAAAAATAAAAGTAAGGCGTTTTATATGTATTCTAAATTCTAAAAAATACATACCTGAACTCTTTCGAGAACTGGTCTTCTAGTTCGTGTTTCAAGTCTAGTTTCTACCAATTTTGTTGGATTTATTTTATCAGCTACAGCTGCACGTAGGCTTTCAATTTCGCGATCTACTTTTTGTAAATTGCTTTCGAGCTGTAATATTAACAATATTTTGTTAAAATAAAAATCTTAGAAATTTATTCCGTAACACATTTATTATAGAAATGTAGTGACAAATTGTTTTCTACAAAAAGAAATAAGTTTAAAATCAGTTAAAAATGTGGAATTGAAGTAGTTGAAATGAAGCGACACTTTTAGTATTATCATTGTGTCACTTGCAAATTAATAAATTAGTCTTACTTTATATTTTTGCCATTCCATTTCATTCCTTGCACGCTGGATATCATAAACTCGTCTCCTCATTATAATTTCTACGTGTTGACCCTGAGCATAAATTTGATTTCGTGCCTGTTCTCTCGTCTTGAACATCGTTTCACGTAACTCTTTTGATTCTCGCATTAGTTGTTCAGCAATTTTGATTGTGTTTTCTATGCAGTGAACATAGCTTTCTTCTGACATAGAACTAAATAAAAATGACTTTTAAGTAATATTTAACTTAGTATATTAAAAAAATTAAACAATGCCATGAGTTCCAAGTTTTCTGTTCATTCCGTATATTAGAAACTATTTTTATTTGAGATTAAGTGATTGGTGATAGGGTGATTGGGTGGTGATTTTTGATTCAATAAAATTGTATTAGGACTACAAACGAAAGAAGAAAAAGATCTTACTCGGGAGGTATTCTTGTAGGATCTAGTTTATACGATATATTCGAGCTTTCTCTATTTATGTCCTTTACGTGATACTCTAAACACAAAGCATCGTCTTTATTTTGTATTTCTCGTTCTAGTCTACAAAATACATTGGTTAACTCTTTTATCTTTTCCCAGCCCATGTGACAAACGTCAGTTAAAACACGTTTACTATTCTCGATTACATGGAGTTCCTGAAATAAAAATATATATTTACATTATATATGTATATTTGGCTGGTATATTATTAGCGTAATGTAAACAAAGAAAAATATTGAATATTACTGTATTTCAAAATACCTTTTTTAATTCTTCGCCAAGTTGATCTCTTGTTAATTCCGGAGGTACTCTTTGGTCCCTATTAGATAGACATTGTGATGAAACCATTAACGGTATCTGAAGTGATTCCAAGTGTAACTCAGTTGCATTTTTTTCTTCCTTTAAGGCTCTTATTTCATCTCTTACTTGCTCTCTGGTAAATCTTTGCTTCTCTCGCCATGATTGTACTTCAAATATTCTACGAAATAGATCAATTTTTATTATTTAAATGTAAATTTTAAAAAGTTTTATAACAAGTTAATTAATCAAAAATTTTAAAGGGTTATTAATTTTGTACCTGTCTCTCATTAGCTCATTATTAGTATAGGTATCCCATCTCGTTGTCACCGATGTTTCATTACGAAGTTGGTTTGCTCTTTGTCTAAGTTCGTAAGACTCAAAACGACGTAGCCTTGCTTCATTTTGTAATCTTTGTATGTTTCTTGTCCAATCTAAAACGCTTAATCGTGGATGAGGTTTTTCAAAAACTGGTATAGATCCATCCATATTCCACACAGCCTAAGAAATTAAAGCAGCAGTTATGTGTATGAACTGTGGTATTTGATCAATAATCCAAAATATCTATGTTCCAAGGCTAAGCAACCTTACATAATATCTCATATTATTTATTAAATTTTTAAAAATTAACGCTTGGCGCTAAAAATATTAATATTTATTATTACTTAATACGTTAGATTATGATATTGGCGTCGCAGTGTATTAAAGGCCTAATAACCCTGTATAAACGTCATATTTTGGGAACATAAATATTTAGTGTAATCTCATCTAATATTATTATTCTGTTTTGGGGTACATTTTTATAATTATACACTCAATAGGTAATTACTAATTACCCTAATTAATTATTAGTTTCTTGACACGTCACATCAATAATATTAAGTATTGCCAACATTAAATTGAAAACACAACATGGCGGCTTTCTAACGCTTGGCTATTAAAAGTGAAGCTTTGCCAAAGTATTAATTTTATAGAAATAAGAAATTTCGTGATTAGCGTACTAAAGTTTATTTTAAAATAAGCTATAAGCAATTGTTTAAAGTCGTAAGATTTGATTTAATCTACAATAATAATGTAAGTAATAATTCGCATTTGCTTTTTTTATCATTGTTTAAAGTGATTGAGTAAATTTTGTGTAATAGGTATGACGATAGACGTGGTGGCCGAGGTGGACGAGGAGGATCACGAGGACGTGGTGGTGGTCGTGGGGGAATGAGTTCCCGAGGTCGATCTAGTGATAGATCGTTAGATAGAAGCACTCGGTTTAGTGCAGGTCGAGGTCGGGACACTAGAGGTGGGCGAGGTGGAACTCGCGGGGGCCGGGATTCTCGTGATGACTTCCGAGGCAAATTTAAAAATGATCAACCAGGAGGTGCTCTACGCAAGATTCGCTGGGACAACGTCCAACTTACACCCTTTCAGAAGAACTTTTACGTACCTCATCCAAATGTGCAAAGGCGATCGATGGCTGACGTCGAAGCGTACCGTAGTGAGCATCAGATAACAGTAAAGGGTCGAGATGTACCTGCTCCTAGTATATATTTCGAGGAAGGGGGTTTCCCTGATTATGCTATGAAAGAAATTTTAAAGCAAGGATTCCCAAATCCAACACCTATTCAAGCTCAAGGGTGGCCGATAGCCTTATCAGGACGAGACATGGTGGGGATTGCGCAGACTGGTTCAGGGAAAACACTTGCATACATTTTACCCGCTATTGTACATATCATCAATCAGCCTAGACTATTGAGAGATGAAGGACCAATAGTACTTGTATTGGCTCCAACTAGAGAATTGGCTCAGCAGATTCAACAGGTATTTGTTTGTTTTTTTTTTATATATTTCAATATCAATCATTATTTTTAGTGATATGTCAACTAATATTTTCAAAATGATTCTATTTGCATGAGTTAAAGCTCATACAGTTCTTTGTAACAGCATCTTGTGCTCATTTGCTAAATGTCAGAAACCTTTAATGATTTACCATACAACATTTAATCACATCTTTTATATAATATAGTAAATAATTTGTTTTCTATTGTGCTACCAAGGCTCTGCATTCAATGAATGGGATAACTGCAGATGTGTCAGACGGAAATCCAAACAACATGGATATAGTAAATTATTTACATACTATAGAGTAGAACTTAGTGTTTCACCTCAGGCTATGTTCGAAAACCTGTAAAAGATTTAGGGAGTAAAATTGACTTGAATGTATTTCATAGGTTTTTAAGGTTTCTGAACGTAACCTTAAAATTAAATATGAGCACTTGTTTTTGTAATTTTTAATATATATACAGTAAATAGTTATATTAACATTTATACCATAGTTTTAATTAATATTAGTTGTATTATACATATTATATATTTTAGAGCTTAGTTTTTCCTAATATAGTTGTTGATCATTCCATTTTGCTTTGATATTCATTTATATAGTGGAAAATATCCGATATTTTATATGTATAATTTTTTGCTTTCATTATTTTGATTATCACTGCAATAAAAATAAGACATATAAATAATATAAAAATTCGAAATACTACTATTAAATTAGTTTTCGAAAGACATATGCAGTCCACCAACCCCCATTTGGCCAGCACGGTGGTCTACAGTCCGATCTCTCTTGTGTTGAATGGAGGCCCGTGCCCAGCATTGGGACTTTAAAATGGGCTGAATGCAATGCAACTATTGAATTAATATGTATAGAACATGAATAGTCTTGTTTTTATTGTATATTTTTGTAAAGTGACATATTTTTCCATCTTAAATGTATTTTTTTACATTTATCAGGTAGCTCATGATTTCGGACAGAGTGTGCAAGTGAGAAACACTTGCATTTTCGGTGGGGCTCCGAAAGGGCCTCAGGGGAGGACACTGGAGCGAGGTGTTGAGATTGTGATAGCTACACCGGGTAGACTGATTGACTTCTTGGAAAAAGGTACATGTCATGTTATTGTATGTTGTGTTATTATAAAAAAATGGTATAGACTTTTATGTAATTTTTTGTTTTTATGGCCCCTTTTTAGCTTTTTTTTCCTTTATTATCATTAAGACTTTTAAATAAATTTTTAAATAAGTATAGCATTAACAATTACTGAGATTTATGTAATGCTACATTATTTTGTACTAACAGGTGAATGTAACTAAAAATTGATTAAAATAAAATTAATCATAGAAATATTCATAATTTAGCCCATCTTAACCTTTAACTTCTCAAAGACCGCTGACACGCCGGCGTTACAGTTAACAATAGATTTCTTAGAAATTTACCTGGAGGTGAACTATGTTACACTAGTGACGCACCTTCGGTACGGGTTCGTTCTTAGAAAAGAACTAAACTATCCCACAGGAACCGTACATTTTTCCGAGATAAAAAGTGACTTATGTGCCATTCCAGACTATGATCTATCGCTGTGCCAAATTTCATCCAGATCCGTTCAGCCGCTCTGGCTTTCATATTTATAATACAAGTCGGATTTTTTGCGGTAAGTGTTAAGTAAAATGGAGAGTATTATTTACGTTACTTGGTTTCAGATACGACAAATCTTCGTCGTTGTACATACTTAGTACTGGATGAAGCAGACAGAATGTTGGATATGGGTTTTGAGCCACAGATTAGAAAGATTATTGAGCAAATTAGACCAGACAGACAAGTTAGTATATATGTATAATATTAATATTTAAATATTATCCAGTTTATTTTAAAACAATAAGTAATATTATGATGTGAATCATTGAAAAATATACACTTTGTCAAATTATTCTTTGTAGCCATAATTAAAAAAAACTATATTTTCATACTCTTTCGCGAATTTATTTTGATTTTTATTTGGGAACCAAAAATCAAAAAATAAACGAAAATATATTCGCGTGATTCTAAGCAAGTATTAGTCATAATTTCCTTGAACAATTATAAAAAAAAAACTGTTTTTCAGGTCCTTATGTGGTCAGCGACATGGCCAAAAGAAGTTCAGAATCTAGCTGAAGAGTTCCTTCATGATTACATTCAGATCAACATTGGATCTCTGTCACTTTCTGCCAATCACAATATCCTACAAATAGTGGATGTGTGCGAGGAGTGGGAGAAGAATGATAAACTATTGACCCTACTTACCGAGATATCCTCTGAAGAAGAAACCAAGACTATAATATTTGCTGAGACCAAGAGAAAGGTGAAATAATAACATATGTAAATCAATAATTCTATATAGGAAAACTTAATATTTCATTTACCGAATTTAAAAAAGGAGTATATTAATTTTAATATAAATATAATACAGTATATTAATTTCAAAGTTATTTTTTTTGTTTATATTTGTATGCAATATCTATACAGATAAATAAAATTGAAGTGTCTGTTTGTAATGTTAAAATAACAGCATTTTGCATATGAAATTACATATGGTGCTTATAAGAAAAACACTTTTTTAAAATTTTTGTCTGTTCTGGATAATCTCTGAAAGGACTGGACTGATTTTGACGGGACTTTCACTGGAAGATAGATAATGTTATAGGGAGTAACGTAGGCTACTTTTATTTTAGAAAAAGAATTAGGGTTCTGCTAAAAAAAAATATGTACATAGTATAAAACAAAGTCACCATCTGTGTCTGTTTCTCTCCTTACTTCTAAACCTTTCAACGGATTTTAATACTGTTTTCACGATATAGTCTATGTATTCATTTATACTAACAGTTAAAACAGACCTTGATAGTGGCTAGTTCAGATATATAATACAACTATATGTGTCAGGTGGACGATATAACGAAGACAATAAACCGCGCCGGGTGGCGCGCGCTCGCCATACACGGCGACAAGAACCAGCAGGACCGCGACTACGTGCTGCAGCAGTTCCGCCACGCGCGCTCCTCCATACTGGTCGCCACCGACGTCGCAGCGCGGGGACTCGGTAACATACCCCGCCCACCACACACCATACGCCATTCATTCACCATGTACCACTACACAGACATCCCCACCACACCACAACACAACACCTTTTTTTTTAATGTTGGGAAATGCATTTAGGCACGACGGCATGGGACTCACCGGCAAAGCCAGTACTACCCACTAAAACCTAACGGAACGACGGACGACCAGGGTCTTAATGGGGCGTCGCAGAATCGTTTACGTATTCGACAACAACGCCCCAATGGCAGGTCACAACAACCATGGGGTTGCTCCACTGTCCACTCCGCTCTCAGAGAAGTACCAGGAGCAACCCGCGTGACACACCACCCACCGAAGTGGGCCACCTCCCTATGCGTTTCTTAGTTTCGCGTCCGGCTGGATTGCCGGACACTACTGAGCCCCCCACCACGACGCAAAGCGGACGCACGTTGGGACAACTCGACACCCTACCACAACTCCACATCCTATCACAAGTCACCCACCACGACAACTCATCCACAACACTCAAAGGGGCCATTCAAGTATTAGTAAGCACCAAAAGGAGCAGGGGGGCCTGGATGTTGATTACGTCACCAATATTTATTTATTAAAAAAATCAATGTTTTCAGAACACACATGACAACCCTACTTGTCTATGCTCAAAAGCCAAAACCATGTTCAGGGATTCCCCGAAATAGTTGAGATGTAATGTTTACATAAGCATAAGAAATTGGTGAAGTTGGCAAGAGTTTAGCTTACTTTTGTTAATATAAAAAAAATATTGAATTTTAGTACTTTCGTAAAATACTTGAATGATCCCAGGCCATGACCCATGACGTCACTATACGATGCATTATCACAATCTACGGTTTTTATGATGTAAATTGTCATTTTTTTCATTATAGACAAGCACCTATTTTAAATCTTGACTATTTATTTCTTGTGTTTGCAAACAGTTCAAAATCTATTAGGGCTCTCTTTATTCTTGCACAAATTTCACAAAAAAAAAGTTTTGAATTAATTGCAAATATTCAATATAAATAAATTTATTTTAAGTAAAGTTTGCGCGTGTCTTCACAAAGAAACAAGTTATTTTTTTTTTACATTCATCATCTCTTATAAACAAACATGCAACATTATTTTATTTCTTATGTAAATAGTTCATATTAAACTATAGTCGTGAAATAGAATCAAAAATGTAATACTTTGTTAGATTTACGTGAATATTTGACATTTTAAATGAAACTATCTGTTCGGTTTTTTATTTTGCGGATTTATATAGATTTTTGGTCCTCGACGTTTCGAATTTTTTACAGCAATCATGGTCACGGGAGAGATTACCACTCTTGTTTGCTTTAAAGCATTTGAATCGTCGGGAATCAAAATATAAAATAAACCCGGAAAAAACCGAAAAGATAGTTTCATTTGAATAGAATCAAAAATGTATAGAATGAATATGATTTGGAATTTTGAATACTGTAATTGCCCACACGTCATCTGATGTTTGTGCCACCGTTTGTGGTGATTTTATGTCACTTTGAATATGAAACCGTTTGTTTTTATGAAATATACGCAAACTCAATGATGATATGGTAAAAAAAAAATATGGTAAATAATCGTAATGGATGGTATAAAGATCACATTGCTTGCTTTATTTAAAACGCTTGTTTTATTGAAAAGGGCCAATGAAAATAAAAGATATAGTGTTTTGATATTAATATATTTTTTTTGTATTTACGAAAAATTCTCTTTGTTTAAATGCGGCTCTAGTTATTTAATGACTTGTAACGAAAATAAACAAGAAAATCCTATCATATACATAATAGTATCATATTTCATATGTGATTCAATTAAAAATATATCATCTGAGGAGTGGTTTTTGAAACATATTAAAATAATCTCCCTACAGGGGATTTTCTTATAAAAGCTTGTGAATATTTCAAAATCAAACAAAATCAATGGCAACAAACAAAAGATGCACACAAACAGATGCGAGGTTTTTTAACTATTAGCTTAAACACCCTCGCACTGTGTCGGCGCAGTATACTGATCCATACAGTAGTCTAATTGAGGCGTCTAGAGACAATACGAACAAATGTACGGGGGAAACGTACCGACTGTCATACATACTTTTATATGTCAGTCGGGAGATGGCTTTAGGGTTGACGGGTATAACTAAATTGCCACGAGATGGTACTGCAACCATCGATCAAAAATGTACGAGATACACAATCGGCGATAAAAAATGTACTTACCGAATGAGCGCGCTTTTGATTTTTTTTTTTTTTAAAACAACTTTTAATTTACATTGTTGCATATTTATTTCGACTAGAATAATTATCTAAACATAATTGGTAACAGTTTTAAGAGAATTTTTGCATAGGATTGTGTATCTAGTGCTTTTTTTGATCTATGACTACAACGCTTTAACATTAAAACCGCTCGCCGTGAAAATTAGTATCTGCCCTGGCAACATTTTATGTTAAAACTAATGGGGCGATCGCCTACTGTATGGGTTTTTATACTGTGATGCCGGTGTCGGGTCGGAGTCAGGAGCGTAGCCCAGGCGATGCCATTGCTTAGTGATTTGACTATGGAATGAGGGTGGAGGGGGAATACCCCCCTAGTTATATAACTACCCCCCCCATAAAAATGCCAATGAAGAAAATGAAACTTTTCTGTGGATGATATGATGGATGGTAAACGTTTTAATATAGGGTTTAAAAATTAAATTATTTAAATTTTTTTAATAGAGGATGAATTTGGGCTTCAGACAATATTATTATTATTAAGGTTTTATATTTGTTGGATAGTTTTAGTTGATTTTTATAGGTGTATTGTTGTGAAAAATAATTTGAGATTTAAAAGAAAAAGTACTTAAAGTATAGATATTTTAAGATCACTATGATCTTATTATTATTTTATCCGCTAATTAAGACAAAATAACATATATTTTTTTACAAATTTTAGACAAATGGTATATGCAATGCATGGATAGTGATAACATTGTATATTAATAGATACAAATATTAAAAAAAAGTGAAATATATACATAAAACTCATAACAGACATTCCACAGAAAATGTTAAATATTTTTCATTCGTTGACATAAAAATATTATATGAAAAATTAGTTCCAATATTCACATTTGTATCATATTTTATTTCTTATTAGGGAGTATGTGAGTTTATTATTATGGCAACACTAATTTTCTATAGTAAAACTATAAAAAATATAGTGAATATTGGAATATACAAATGAAACGAATGACACAGCAATGGCCGAATGCCACTTAGAGATGTTCTACGGCCATGGAAGAGAGTAGTACCCTATGATTATAATGAAATATTTTAGCCTTTTTAGGTTAGTTAATGCAATAGTAGATATATGTAATAACAAATAATAAATACATACATAGGGTACAAAAAAGTCCAGGCCTATTTTATATAAATTTCCATGACTGACTCGGCATTATTCTCAAATGTTTTCATTTCAGAGGCGCATGCGTGCAGAGATAACGGCTAAACTTTGCGGTGTGTTGCTGACCCCGTTATTTGCGACGAATTAATGATATTAACGAGATTAATGAGATTAACGAGATTAATGATTATTAATGACGATGATAATATGATAATGATTATTAATGACAGTGCTGTCAGCGCACACTGTTTAGAGCATGCTGCCTCTATAAATGATGTGGGGGGTTTACCTTGGTCTTGAAATTATTAATGATGAATTTTGCAAAAAATTGATAAATGGTTTATTGTAATTGGGGTTGAACGGGTTGTCTGTAGAATACCATTTTGATAGTTTTTTTTTAATTCTGATTTATTTTTGTCTTTTCATTTTTAAATAAATAACAGCTTTCCCGCCTTTTTCGTACGTTGTGTAAGAACGTTTTTTATTTTAATTTTTTGTTAAATTGTAATATGTTATTTATAAAAAAATCGTGCGGCCGATTCCAGTAGCTTCAAAGTCTTCCAAACTTTAATGTTAACAGTGTTCAATATTTCATTATAATATTTTTTTTCAAAATCAATTCGCAATCCGTATTCTATAGACATCCCAAAAGAAATAATTATTAAAATTAAAATAATAATAATTGATAAAACAAAAAGTAAGACCAAACTAGGAGCAATATTTGCTTGGTTACCTGTCATGAGAGATTTGCGAACAAAACTAAAGTGCTACGCAACTGACGGTTAGGGAAAGGCAAATGTTTACGGATAATATCCATACGAAGTCAGGGACGACCCAACCAACCAACACGCGGGCATAATACAGTTATAACCAGCGACTACAACCGATAAATAAGGTAATTATTATGATCTGTGGTTTTGAGGGAATATGCCTGCTGTCATAAGTGTCAATGTCATGTCAATGTAATTTTTTTTTTGAAATGGTAGTGTTTGGCGTTTAATTTAATTTATGATCTATAAGCTCTTACAATTGGTTTATTATTTTGATATAGATGAATTATTAAATTTAACAAAAGAAAAAAAGTTTTGCAATCTTTTTTTTTTGTTTGGATCAATAAAAGTTATGAGCAAAGGATTCTTCCCTCAATTCCTATCTATCTATATAATGCCTTGGTGTTTTTTTGATTGTGTGCTAAATAATAAAAATAAACGGGATGAAATGTAACGAATATAATGTAATATATTAGATGTGGAAGACGTCAAGTTCGTGATCAACTACGATTATCCGAATAATTCAGAAGATTATGTGCATCGTATCGGAAGAACTGGACGCTCTCATAATACAGGCACGGCGTATACGCTTTTCACGCCCAATAACTCTGCTAAGGTAGGTCTAAATAGTATCTAGATAATGTTGTGTTAATGATGACCTACAAATTATTTTTTGGGTCAAAAAGGCACTTAATAAAGAATATGGGTGTGATTTAAATAAAGGTGTTTTTTTTTTATAATCTTTTGTTTTTGTTGCTTTTGAATTAAGCCTATATTCATATTTTTTAATGTAATTTCTTTTTAATTAAGAAAATAATTATTAAAAAGTGCAAATATAGGTGGGAAATTCAAAGTAGTTGAAACGCAACGTCATTGGTCAGACCGAATGTGACGTAAAAGTATGATATAACATAGCCAGTGCTGACGATTTATAGATAAAAATGACTACTTTTCTTGAGCAAAATTGTCATTTTTGCGTTAATTTGGCAGCACACTCTGTTATATCATACTGTGACGTCACGACAAGCGCGCGAAATGGCGGGCGTTTAAAGTATCCGTATCGGTATGATATTTTTAAAGAGTTTTTTATATTAAATTTTAGCTTTTTCGAGCTGGATATTTTTTTTACAATTAGATGACGATGTAAGCTATTGTATAAAAAAAAAATAAAAAAAATTCACGCATATTCCCTATTATTATAGTTCTAAATTTTAATATATTTTTTTATTAATTAATAGTGATGTCCTCAATTGCCTTTTTTGGTTACAACAAGTGCATTTTATTTATTATGAATTAAACTTTACTAAACAAAAAAATTATTAATTTTTAACATTTATCAATAGCTTTTTTTAAATGAATAAAAAAATAAAAAATATTTACATACTAAACCCAATTAAATAGAACTCATTTTGATCTTAAATTTTAAAATAGTATTATTTAAGGTTTTTATTTGTAACACAATAATTGTTACTCGAAAATCATTAGTTTTTGTTATCAGTCAAGCATGTTTTTAGTATTAATATCCTGTTGCTTATTATATTTTTTCCTTTAGGCCAAGGATCTGCTCTCAGTCCTGCAGGAGGCTAACCAAGTGGTCAACCCTAAGTTGTTAGAGCTGGCCCAATGCGGGATGGGATTCAAGGGGAAATATGGTAAGTGCACATTGTAATTAATTACATACATACACATAATAAATGGATTTGTATTTAAGTGCATAAGCATTTATAGATCTCGTTATAGGAATTATTTGAGTAAACAGGAACTAATTAATTTAATTTTGTTCGTAATGTATATTAATTATTATTATTATTATTATATATACGAAAGTACATGTATATATATATATGTGTGCGTGTTTGTTTCCATGTATGTATTTAAAGTTATATATGTGTAGTGTATCAACTATCTGGTATAGATATGACACAAGCCTCGTAGCTTACCATGGAACTAGATGGTGCTGTGTGTTAATGTACTAACATATTTATTATATTATTATAATATATAATTAATTGTTGTCAGGTCGCGGCAGGTTCCGGGAGCGCGACGACAGCTCCAGCGGGCGCGGCCGCGGACGCGGCGCCTCGCGCTTTAGCGACCGCAGTGAGAACATACACTTTATATATCCATACATAATATTATAAATGTGAAAGTGTGTTTGTTTGTTTGTACTTCTTTCCCGTGAACGAGAATGACGGATTGGTGTGATTTTTTTGTATTTTTTGTATGGAAATAGATGGAGGGCTGGATAGTGATGTAGGCTACTTTTTAGCGTGGGAGATTATCACATTGCCACAGGAAAACACGTTGTAATACAACCCACGACAACTGATCATATGCACATATCTTAATAACATTTATATAAAATAATGTATATAAAATTCTCGTGTCAAGATGTTGGTCAGCGATGAACTCCGAAACTACTTGTCCGATCTAAATGAAAAATTGCTGATTTTTTTTTTAATCTCTCTTTTCCTTACCAGTATCATCAACATTGCCGCTACTTAAACTAAAAATAAAAATTTAAATGGCGGTGGATTGCTAATGCTAGCTTCTGTGTTTTTTTCCATGGTTAAACACCTTTCTGTCCCTTAGGTGTGTCTTAGAGGGTGCTTTAGGTTGATCTTTAAAAAAAATGAGTGTAATGAAAATCTTACAACAAATAAAAGAATTAAAAAAAAAATCAAAAGTGTATGTGTATACGGTTCACTCACAGTAGAAGTGAAACTTCTTTAGAAAATATCGTAATTAAATTAAAACTAATCAATAATTAAATAAGGCGTATTAAGCATACTACATTCATATATTTATAGAATATCATATGCGGAAAGAATATAATATTATATATTTGTCAGACAATAATAACGGTTACCATGGCAACATGGCGATGTATTCTGTCTCATTCTCTCGCCGGCTTAATCCTATATATTTATGTGTTTGTTTCTATCTAGTGTCGCATTTCCGTTTCGTCGAGTTTCAAATCACAACGATTCTAAAAAAAGTTTCACTTCAAAAAAATAATATTATGTATTTGTTTCTTATACAGGCTCAAGATGGGATAGCAGTTCAAATGGACAAAGCTTCGATCAAGGATCGAATTCATCCTACAATCGTCAGGGCTTCAACAATAGGGAGGGAGGGTTCAGAGAAAGGGAGGGTAGTTTCAGAGGACGTGGAAGGGGGAGAGGGAGGGGTGGTTACAACCAAAACCAGGGTTCAACCGGTGGTTACAACCAAGGGTTCAACCAAAACAACCAAGGGTTCAACTCGGCACCCAATAGCTATTACAATATGTACTCCCAACCCCCACCCTCTAATTAAGATTAGATTTGTTTTATATATTAATGTATGTGATTATGTGTTTTTCTTTGTACTTCTGGTAATTGGAACCCTTATATGATCACTTCGATGTCTGTCCGTAACTGAATTTTCCACTAAATGTAATTTTTTTTTATGTTAAGATATTAAATGAATGATTTAGGGATATTTTTACTTTCTTTTATTTGATTTACATGACTTAAATGAGGTCGTCAGTCAAAAGTAGTCTAACCCACTAACAGCTTTTTTTGAGAAAATGGCTGTTAAATATTTTTATATATTTTAAAACATAGTTTTTCATTTTCAACTTACTTGAGTTTCAAAGTTTATCTTTGCGTTTTTAGTTAAATTTTTTTTTGAAAACAAAAAATATTGGGTTAAACTGTTCTTGCACTGATGGCTGATATGTGTTTTTTGTAATAATCAAACAGTACAAATTATTGTTTGCTTTGGATATTTAAGACATTAACAAATTAAGATTTTGATGCAAGTCTTATGCCCGATTTCACCAACGTCATCTAAGTTTAAGTGATCCCCTAAGGATGGTTAGGGGGCTGTTAGGGGACAGTTTCTGTTTCACCGACAGTTAGGGGTCACCTAAATATTAAAAGACCCCCTAAATTTAGGTGCTCGAAATATGGGCTTAAGACGATCGTAAAACGAAATTTAATTTAGAGGCTAGTTTAGGGGACTTTTAAGCTAGGGTTCTCATACGTAGGTGGTAGCTTATGGGTTGTTAGTGAAATCGGGCGTTAGTCTCACTAAGGTCGAAGACAATCAAAATTTTCTTTTTCAACAACATCGTCTTACTGGCTTCTTTTATAGTGAGGGAACCCAATAGGTAATTTTGGGATTTACTTAAGCGCGGCAGATTAATATAAGGCGTTCAAAAAAGTACTAGATACACAATCAGCGACAAAAAATGTCCTCACCGAATGAGCGCTCATTGGATTATTTGAGCGCGCTTTTAATTTTTTTTTAAATGTGAAAACGACTTCAAGCATTACATTTTGCATTATTTCAGGATCAGTTTACATTTTTGTATATTTATTTCAACTAGAATAATTACCTAAACACAATTGGTAACAGTTTTAAGAGAACTTTTGTATGGGATTGTGTATCTAGTTTACTTTTTTGACTGATGGTACCTCCACCATATATAAGTCCTCTTTTAATATAAGAATGAATATTTTAAAAATATTTTGATAACTTAGAAATATTCAAAACCGTCAGATTGAGGTGTGGTGGGTTAATTATCTGCCGATTTCCACAAGCCCAAGAAAGAAAAATCTTTTATTTCTAACTTAAAAAAATATTTTTTAAATATTCTGATCGGTTGCCCTAGACCCGACTTTAGACAAAAGATTTATATATGGTGAAGGTACTTAACAGAGTACAAGTCCCCCCTTATGTTAATCTGCCGCGCTTAGGTAAATCCCAAAATCACCTCGTGGGCTCCCCTACTATTATGGTTTCTAGGAAATTCACATTTAAATTTTAAATGAAATTTATTAAATCTGTATGTTTATTGCAGTATAATAGATTAGTAGTTGTTAGGGAAAAGAATTTAAATTCCGAATTACAAGATTTACTGAATTAAATATAATAACAATATGTTAGAAAATCTTTTAGAAACACTGCAAGTGTATTGAATTCATGTTTAACAATAGCACAAGTAATAGACGTTGCATAGACCATAGATTACATTTATTTTCTTATATGGAACAGTTAACGAAATATTTAATCCAATGACATTTTTTTTTGGAAATTATAAAAGCTATCGAATAATTTTGTATGGGAAATACAACAATTACTCATGAATACTTAATTTGCAATAACGTAAATGATTAATTTTATATCCGAAATTCAACGGTTAGTAGCTATTTAAAAACAATAACCATTTTTATTGCAATAAAAGGTATTTACAAAGGTATTATAATGATATAAATAAGCAGTTTGGCTACAAATTAATTTTCTTAAAGAAAAATACACAAATTGTTTTTTTCTTTGAACTTTAATATTGTGTAGATCAGTAATGTTGTAACCACTAGCAAATTGTTGATAATAGAAACCATGTTCTTTCCAGTAGAAATAATCTTACATATTGAAAATATACTAATGTATACAGGTTGCAATGGTTTGAAGGAACACTAAAGTTATGTGCAATTCACCAAATAAATAAATTTAAAACATTTTGTTTTTTATTTGATTTGTGTATGATGAAATTATCTATACATAATATAATGAAATTCTGAGCCGAATCTGTATATTAAATAAATAATTTTGGAAAATGTCATTGAAAGTCATTATTATCGAAATAGACGCCAAATCTATAATTTTTTAAAATTTATATTTGTCTAGGAACGCATCACGAGAAAACCACTGGACAGATTTTGATGCAATTTGGTATGATGATAGCTGGTTATCCGGGTCAACATAGAGGATACTTTTTATTGCAGGAAAATATCTCTGAGAAATCTATACTAAAAGTTAAAACGTAAGTAGGGACGAACCCGAGCGTAGCGAGGGTGAGTCGCTAGTCTACACATATAATAAAATTTCTGAGTCAAATCTGTACATTAAATATTTTTTGGAAAATCTTATTTTAAATAGATAAATAGGTCATAGCTGATTATCCGGGTCAACATAAAGGATACTTTTTACCGCGGAAAAATGTCTCATTTCTGAGAAAAAATACAAAAACTATAATGTAAGAGTATTACTATACTAATATGTAAAACTAAACTTTATAAAGACAAAGACATGAATTCCAGAATATTATAGATCCTGATAGGATATTTAATCTATCTTCTCATATCAGTATGATATGAGAAGATAGATTAAAAATTGAATCAAAACTTCATAATTATTCATAAAATTGTAGGCGAAAACAAAGTGAGAAAAGGACTCGAATAATAAAAATCCAATTGGAAACATTTTACTTTATTCCTACATGATAAATTATATAGAACAATATTTCACAGATGACGCTCACAAATAAGCTTCTATAGTTCAGAATTGATAGAACTCATTGTAATCTGTTGCGACAATTTTAGTGTGAGGCATGTGCTTGTTTGTCTGGGTCGACATAGTCAAGTTGTTCTTCTTCATTATGCGGCCAGAATGTAGGCTTGTTGATTGGATCAATGGCAAGGTCGGGATGAGCATCCTTGAAGTCTTCCATGGTCATTTGATCATATGGCAGGATCGCTTTGGTTTCTTCAATTTGTTTCTGGTATCTGAATAACAAATGATCTATTAAGTTACTTTGTTTCTTAATATAATCCTATTAATAAATTTAACAAAATGCAACTTAAACCTTTAATAATTGTTACATTACTTTCTTATATGAAGATATTAATTAGATACAGTCTTATGTATTCATTAGTATAACACAAAAAATAGTAGGGTTGATTATAAATTATAAGAAATAATAACTTACGATGCAATGGTGGCATTAGATTGTTGAACGAAAGCATCAATGGCTTTCTTAACTTCAACCCATTGGGCTTCAACTTTAGAGGTCAATGTATCAGCTGGGTATGGGATTTTCAAGGTTTCATATTGCTTCTGGAAATTGTCGACCATTCCGGGGATGGGGACAGCCTGTTTGTATGCAGCCCAGTTGATCTTGGGTGGCTCAGCAGGGTTAGCCAACACCCTGAAGAAATAAAATATATTTTAGCACCTTATACCTATGGCTAAATTTCTATTATAATAATTTATTATAAAGAATTTACTATTTGATATTTATTATATAAGAATACTTAACATTTTTTTAAAACTTGTTTCAAGAATCAATGATTAAATTATGTAACATTCATGTCAAAACTAACCTTCTGAGATAGCCATCGGACTTGATTTTGAAAGCAGCAAGGTTTCCTTTCTGTTCCGCGGGCACCCTCTCAGCCAAAGCGGCCCAGTTTACGGAGCTCTGAGCGATCCTTTTCGCCATATTTTCGCTAACTTTTCTCTAAAAAGATGAACCTCGTCACTGACAACTTCAAGTAACCATAGACAATAATTATTTTTAATCAATTATGTATTTCAATTTTTGCTAATTCTATAATGTTGCCATTCGCTAAAACACTGATTTTATAATACTAGATTCTTTTTTTTATTAGATTTTTTTAGTTTGCATTAATTGAATGGAAAATAAATATTATTTTTTTGATAAATTATCTGATGCTATTCTACAAACAAAGGTAAAACACGATCAATGTTTAAATCAAGTTATTATAGACTGAATTTAAAAAGTTTTTATCATTATTCATGGATGATTTGTATAAAAGCAGTTTCTGTATTATTTCTATTAATTACCCTATTTTAAAGAGGATTAACATCAATTATATTCCAGTAAATTTTAACCCATATTTTTAAAATTGAGCCATTATATATTATTTAATTAATATTTATTAATTAAAGAGTAGTACAGCTATAGTTTTTAGTTGAATAAAAGGTAAGTGAAAAATTCAATACTTAGCATTATTTATTATAATTATAATAGAATACTTAATTAAAAGAAAAAGTGATTAAGTTATATTTTGTTTTGTACTCTCATTACTTTTCTTCTTTTCCTTGTTTTTCTTTGGTTTCTTCTTTCTCTTTTTGTTCGGATCTTTTTTCTTATACATATCGTTATGTTTAAGCAATTTTTTGTACATTTTTAATAATCTTTTAGCATCCATTTCTAATTCTTTTGTCACTTTGCCAACATTTTCTAGTTTACTGTCATCAATTGGGTCAACGTACTTAGTGGATCCCTGTAGAGTATTAAAATGATCTATAGATCCTTCAAGTACATTAGCAGATTCCTCAACAACATCAGCCGGTTTTTCTATTTCAGGAGTTTTTTCCTCCATGTTTTTAGACTCCTCCAATTTCTTTTTTAGTTCTTTGTTCTTTTTCCGAAGCGCATTTAATATGTTGGAAGTTGTAAGAACTTTTTTGACCTTTTTACTGTCTAAGTACCGATCCCGCCATGAAATATTTTCAAATTCTTCATTAGTATCTGCTTCATTATTTTCTGACTCTCCGCGAGTATTTGTATGTATATGTTCATCTATTTTCGCAGATAAAGCTTCAATTTCTGATTTGGTGGGCTCTTTTGATATAGAAACACCTTCTACTTCGTAGCATGATGAATCGTCGGAAAGTTCCAGAATCTCATAAATGTCATCATCTATTGAAATTTTGCTCACTTCTGTTGACTTTTGTTCCTCATTTTGATTTTCTTTATAAAAATTTTGGTCGGAGTTTTCACGAAAATCCGATTTCGATTTTTTGTTCTTCTTATCCTTCTTACATTTCTTTTCTTTTTTCTTTTTCTTTTTATCTATATTTTCGTCATCTGATATACATACTACTTCTGAAGTGTGTTCGGAAATTTCTCCATCAGATAACTTATTTTCTTCTTCATTTACTATTTCTCCATCTTCTAGTTGCTCTTGAGTATTTCGAGTTTCTACTGGATATTCATTATGAGGTTGATTGTCAGTATTTGTATTTGAGTTACTTTGTTCTGGAGATGTTATTTGTTTTTGCTCGTTTTCAGTAAAAACTAGTGAAACCTCATTTGTTTTATCAGATAAATCGGTTTTATCTATTATTTCATTGTTATCTAAGTCAATAGGACTCGCTTCTTTAACTTCATGAGATTCTTTCATTTCATTGTCCTTTTCTTTTTCTTCAATTTGCGATTTGATTTCTATATTTTGATCAACCAGAGTATCTATTTTTGATGGTATGTTCTTATCATGTACATTATCTGTACTTTTTGTAATTTTGCTTTCATCATTACTACTATGAGAGGTGTCGGACTCATTACTTTCAGAACTACTTTCCGAGTCTTCTGAGCCAGAAGAAGTTAAGTTATCATAGTTTTTACGATCAAAATCTAGCAAATCCATCTTTTCTGAGTCAGACAATTGCAAAGTTATTTCATCGTGATCACTACCTTCTTTTTCTTTATCTTTCTTTTTTTGTCTTTTCTTTGATTTAGTCTTAGTTTCTGTTTTAGTCTCATTTTTCTTATTGTTTTTATCATCTGGCAATACCTGAATTTTGTTGATAACTACTTCTTTATTTACACTTTGAATATTTTTATCAATATTTTTTGTGCCAACATCTGCAGTGGAAGTAATAGTTGTGATAGATTTATTTCTCTTCAGTTTAATCTTTCGTGTAGGTTTTGTTTGTGGTACTGTTATTATTAGATCATTTACTCTTTTAGTGATAGTTGTTGAGGTTTTTTCTTGATCAGTTTCTTTACTCGGTGATGGAGGTTTTACTGCAATAGAGTATAAATACACTAATACACTTAAAGAAATTCCTCATTTAATTTTTTAACACAAATAATCTAAAAAAGTATTGCAAACAATCTGTTTTAAATATTTTGTACATTGAACATATTCTCATATATAATATTTTTGAAATTAAACAACTAAGGAAAAAAGTAGGCAAACAAATAAAAAGTACCAGGTAAATTGTTGATGTTTGGCTTTTCATCTTCACTGCTTATCTCCACCACTTCAGCGGGTTCCTCTTTTATCTCTACTTCATCTGACGAGTCATGCTTTTCTGTAGTCACTTCTTGCACTTCTGTGGTTGCTGTATTTATAGGAAATAACTATTAAATTAAATCATACAATAAAAATTATTATTAAATTCTCATAAGAATTTTCTATATAAAATAAACAGCAAATACCCAACAACATTTATATGTTTATTTCTCCATAACAATATAGAATTATATCATTATCTAGCCACATATCCTCCTGCTTGGGTGCATCCCTAGGCATGTTTTAATTTTTTTCATCTAAGTTACTCTTTATAACATCAGCTATTTGCAAGTGAAAATCCTTTTAAAATCAGTCCAGCCATTTTAGAGATCAGCCGGAACAACCAGACAGACAAAATTAAAAAAAAATGTGTTTTTGTATTTTTTCTTAGAAATGAGATATTTTCCTGTGGTAAAAAATATCTTTATGTTGACCCGGATAACCAGCTATCACTATACCAAATTTCATCAAAATCCCTCCAGTGGTTTTTCTGTGATGCGGTAACAGACCGACAGACAAACTTTCTAAAAACTATAGATTCGGCCTCTGTATCGATAATAATAACTACTTCAATAAGATTTTCCAAAAAATATCTTATGTACAGATTGGGCTTAGTTACAATTTTATTAGATGTATAGATTACAAACAGACACTTCAATTTTATTTATCTGTATAGATAAGCATTAATTTTGTTTAGTTTATAACATTTTAATAATATATCAATTAATACACATAACAATAAATATAAAAAGATATTCATACTAGTAACATCTTGTTGCAACTGAGCTCTAATAGCTCTAGCTCTCGCTTGAAGCTCAAGTAACTCTAACACCGTAAGTCCAGCTCTAGATGCCTTTGATTTGTCTTCTTCTTTTTCAGAATTGCTTTCTTTTCGTTTATGTTTGTTCTTCGATTTATGTTTTTTGTGTTTGTGCTAGAATACATTTTTTTATGTAATTATATAAATTCTTGAAATATATGTGACAGTAAGTAAAATGAGTCACTGTAATTAATATTTTGAATATAAATTGTGATGAATGATACTATTACATAGTTAAGACTTGTAACAAATTAAGGACAAATACAATGAAATGTTTTAATTGTGTTTTGTTTTAATTTTTGAGATGTTTTAAAAAAAAAATATTTTGTGAATATTACCATACCTTTTTATTTTTGGAACTATGTTGGCTCAAAATTTCCTCATCAGAAGATATACTGTCCAAAGAAATAGTTTCTAGTGGTTCAGAGCTTGAAGATTCTGTGTCTGTGGGAGGCTCAGCTCCATCTAATATTGCACAAAGACGCTTTGAACTTATACCTAGTAACTAAAAAATAAAATAAATCACATTAAAAAATATTCTTACTGTTTTGAAATTTGTCTAATCATAAGGATTTCCAAATATTTTAATTTTATCAAGTTAAGTCTACAAATAGTGGGGATTTTAACAAGTAAAACTGTCAGAACAAACTCACCTCTTCCGTACACAGCTCTTGTAAATCATCAATGGATATATGTTGCACACATTGTGGTGCCATCACCTTCAGCTCTTTGGGTTTTATAACCGAAAACACCTGATGCATTAACTCAACTCTATCATGTATGTAATAAGCCAAGTCGTGCTCTTCATTATCTTTTAACTGAGATGACGATTCTGGAATCTCACGTTTAATTTTATGCCTGTTTATACGTTTCATTTTATTCGATAATAATTGAAATTCAACTATTAAAAAGTAAAAACTAAAATATGTTTAATGTTTACACTTCGCTTACAAAGTTCTGTCAAAACTCAAACCTTCAACGTCAAAACTCCATCCTCCTCAACCGCAGATTATAAAAGAAATTGGTCGATGAAAATATATAATGACAGTATACATCATGGATGGCATATACATATGATAAAATTGTAACTAAGCCGAATCTTTATTAAAAAATTTTTGGAAAATCACATTGCAATAGACAGTATTATCGATACAGAGGCCGAATCTAGTTTTTAGGATTTTGGTCTGTCTGTTACCGCTTCACTGAAAAACCACTGGAAGGATTTTGATGAAATTTGGTATGATGGTAGCTGGTTATCCGAGTCAACATATAGGATACTTTTTATTACGGGAAAATATCTCATCTCTGAGAAATCTATACTAAACCTGAAAACTTAAGTAGGGATAAACTCGAGCGAAGCGAGGGTGAGTCGCTAGTGAGACAATAAAAATATATTGAAATACAACAAATAATAATATTTCGACCATAATATTAAAACAAAACTTAAATATATTCTCAGTGCTTTTAGTCAATTAGGTTGGTATTACTACGTATAATTAAAGGAAGTCACGAGTTTGTGCGATATTTAAAAAACTAATTTGAATCCAAACAACTTACAAAATAAGATGTTAGAAATTAATTAACTATGTTTTTATTCAATTTAGTTTTTGATTGTAAATAGTATTTTGTAATAAAAATATTTCTTAGTGTGTTCAAATACCCTTTGGAAAAGAGATTTTGGATTGGATTACATGAATAGGCAAAATCCCGGCATACTTACGCGACACTTGGCAGGAGGTACCAACTACCAACTTGATTGTACAAATAATCCCGGCATACTTATGGGACACTTGATAATAGGTACTTGGGCCTTAACTAAAATGTTAAACATTTGATAAAAGGACGTGCGGTTTAAAAATGCTTACCTACTTAATAATATAAGATGGTAAGAGAACACATAAAAATGATTTAGTTACAATTTGTTTATTTATTAAAGACTAGCGAAAAAAATTTAAAGAAAAACAAAAACAAATGTATCCCTCGGGAACCGTATATTTTTCCGAGATAAAAAGTAGCCTATGTTTATTCAGCCGTTCTGGCGTGAAAGAGTCACAAACATCCGAACACAAACATCATTTGTGAGTACAAACTTTCACATTTATAATAATTACCTATAGGTACAGATGATCCCAAAGAAAGTAGTATTTCATTTAACCTAAGCAACATTACGTAGGCAAAGGAGGTTTGAATCTGAAATTGAATTGTTTTATTACGATTGCAATTTTATAGAAACGTTACAGCTTAAAAAAGTAACAAACACACTCAATTTTCATTTACTTACAAACTTTCGTAATTACTATTATAAAGTGTAATGCATTATCCAATAGTGAAGTAATATTTAGAAGATGAATCTCATGGTAGTCTTCGGTTGACTAATTTCATTAACAATATTGCCATGTGTAGATTTTGGTCAAAGCAATTACTTCATTATATTATAATAAAAAACATACATATACTGAAACACATTTATTTAAGCTTTGGTTCTTTTTAATCTAAACATAAGTAGATTAGTTATACTAAGCTCCATATAAAACAATCGTACACAAATTGAAGAGATTGAGAACAAAAGAGGAAAATTGCAAATTACATATTTTTACATATAAAAAAACATGACATGAAGAGACATGAATATGGAAATCTTAATTCTTATTCAAAAAATCACTGCTACTATTGTATTTTACAAGCTTTAAATCAAATACAAGGCAAAGTTATAAATGTTTGCTTAATAAATTGATTTTATGTAATTGCATAGTTTTGTTCGCTACCTCCTTAATATATAATGTGGTATACAAATAAATATTTAATATAAAAAATTGTTGCCATTATTCTAATTGACTTTTAATATCAGTCTTGGTGGAGTTAAATATCTATAATTTTTCAAAATATAAAATGTTCTCACGATCTTATCTATCTATACTTTTATATATTTGGTATATTTATACATGTGTATTTTGTTAATTAAACGGTACTTATTAATTAATTTCCAGGAATGTTTTGAGGAAAGAATCAAGAAAGAGGTTTTCCTTATTTAAATGTTGTAAAGAATTGTAAAAGTAAAGAAATACTTGTGACTTGGATATATTCGTAGAATGAAATGCAAACTGGTTTTAAACCTAATATATTTTTTTAATTTGTTTGAATATTTTTTTTAGATGCACCTTCACTTTATAATTTAATATAGAAGCAAAATTTCAAAAATAAATGTTTTAAGAGATTTTCACGCATTTAGTATCTACATCTAAATAAATTACTTTGGTCATGTATTTATTACTAACATCTAAGATTTATATTTACATTATTAACATTTATTTACAATTAAAATTACGTAATTGTAATAATATTCGGGTTTCATACCCCAAAAATGAAAATAAATTTTTTTGTGTAGAAAATTGATCAATAAAAGAAAAAAAATAACATCAGAAAGAGTAATAATTGCAAATGCAGCCAGTGCGTTGGATTAAAAAAAACATTAAGTATATTATATGTATTTAGATTAATCGTAGGTATACTAACGGTAGGTATATTATTATAAAGTTTATTTGGAAAGATATTTCACTTGAATCTTTCCACAATAAATTATAATATACCTATTAAATAGCTAATTGTATTCAAATAAGCCAAACCCAAAAAATTGAGAGCGTTGGTTTCCAAGATGGCGTCTGCGTTACATATGATTAACATATTTGAATTGTAACGAACAATACAATAAAAATTACAATTTCGTAGGTTTCTCTTTTAAATTTCGTTTATCAATACAATGCGGGGAATTTGAGGAATGTCCGACAGTTCGACTGCCCCACGTCGTTCTTCGAGCTACGGGATTATTTTTGCATATTTTAAGTAAATTAACAAACGCGGCCCTATATTGTCTATTCGTAGCTGCGTATATTAACGGATTTATTACACTGGAAGCCCAGGCGAGTATTGAGGCGATGATATGAAGCCATGGATAAGTTATCCCATCGTCGGCAACATTCATTATCATTAGGGGAAGGAAGCAAGCAAGAAAACACAGGAATATTGTCAACATCAGCGTTGTTAGACGTGAGTCTTCTTCCTTCTCTCTTGCCGTCTGACCGCTGAGTTTGCTGTGAAAGAAAATGTTATAATTAATATATTATTCTTGTTTTTATAAAAACCTGCGTTTTAGTTATATATTACGTATTTTCTTTTTCAAGTTTATAATAGTACTAGCGGCTCACTCTCGCTTCGCTCGGTTTCGCCTCAGATAAACAAAAAATCTATCCCACGGGAACCGTATATTTTCTAGGATAAAACGTAGCCTATGTATTATTTCAGATTATAATCTATCTTTGTGCCAAATTTTATCCAGATCCGTTCAGCCGTTCTGTTGTGATTGAATAACAAACATCTATCCAAACATCTAAACTACTATACTCTCACATTTATAATATAAGTAAGATTTTACATGCGAACGTAACTGTCTGGCTGTTTGTTACGCTTTATTACAACTAAAGCACTGAACAAATTTTGATGAAATTTGATACGATGTACGTTTGAACCTCAAGAAAGAACAATTTTTTTCTAATTTACTCCTAGAGAGGCTAAAGGATGAAGGTTTGTGTGCAAATTACTCAATTTGAAATTAAAAATGTAGAAATGACCGTATTTATGAAAAGACATAACGCGAGGGTAGTTAACAATAAATGAAAATGTTCATACAAATAACAAACACTTCATTATATTTAGCCCGACTTGAAATATAGGAAGTACTAACTTTTAACGTCAGACTGTCTAAATTATTAGTATGTTGCTGGTTTCTACCTAGTGATATTTAAATGATATTAAATGACTACGCACATACAGAACGATGGAATGTAAAATAAAACACTAATATTATTTCGTTTATTAGATTCATACTAGTTTTAGAAATAAGAAAAAATTAATCAATTTTTTTTGTAAATATAATAAAATTGTATTAATTATTTTTAGGGTTCCATACGTTACGATAAAAAAACCTGAGAGTATGTCAGTCAATATAAAGGCATAACAACCTCTTATTCTATAAAATTAATAAGGAAAATATATAAAAAAAAAACTAAATGTGCAATTCACACATCGTAGAAGTGAAACTTCAGAAAATGATATGAATATAGAGTATCAGGAGTAGGATAATCATAAGGATTTTTTTATATTATTTTTACCAAGTTTAAAAGTTATTTTACATTTTATTTGACATAAATATAAACATTACATAATAATCAGTAATGAATTTTATTATTTTTCACTTCCTTTGTAATGTATTCTATCAAATAACAACGGTTACCATGACAACGGTTACCATGGCATCATCGCAATGTATTCTATCTCATTCTATCGCCGGCTTAATCCTATATATTTATATGTTTGTCTCTTTTTACTGTCGCATTTCCGTTGCATCGAGTTTCAAATCACAACGATTCTAAAGAAGTTTCACTTCAATATACGAATTATATCGCAAGTTCAATGTTAAAATATAACGAAAACCTGTAAGTCTTTTTAAAATGAAAGAGCATTAAAATGAGTCTTACTACTTAATAGTATTTCGACCAATTTCTTCTATGAACACTACATATTAATTATTGCCATTAAGTACTTCGGCGACTGAGTTTCGCTCGGCGTTTTTTCGGATAAAATATAAACATTTTTTTTAGTTTAAAAGCAAAACCTTATCTAAATACAAAATTCGATACAAATCCGTCATTTCCGAGATACACGAAATGATTTATATAAAAGAATTCCTTATTTAATATTATAAGCTCGTACATTTACTGAGTCACTGCATCTCTAAACTAGATGTATGGAACATGCTAAGATATCTCACCCACATACACACCTGCGTCCTTCCAGCTTCCTCTTGCTCTCCCTCACTCTCCAGTATATGCAGGAGTAGGACACTATGATGACCAAACATGGTAAAGCAAATCCAAACACAAATAAGTACTTTTTAGGACTTTTACCCTCTTTAGGTAAAATCGTGCAGGAGAATGTATTTGGATCTAAGCCCAATTGACCCCAGATGCCGAGAAGTGGTGGTATCTGAAAAAAAAAAATGAAATTTTGAAATGAAATGAAATGAAATGAAAATATTATGTGTACTTATTTTGAGAGTTAAAATAAAATTACCGGGGTTTTATTTAAAGTGTGGCTATTATTGATATTTTAAAAATTTATATTGATAATTTAACTATAAAGATAAAGTTTATAATTATTATTTGTATTGTATATTTTACATATTACATATGCATTCGTGTGAGGAACAACTCACACTTATTTATTTGTATATTATAATTGTACAATAGGAATAATTTTTTTGCTCGCTCTTAAATATGTGTTTAAAATTAACTCGAAAAAAAAAAACGAAATAGGCGGTTACAAATAGCAAAGCAAGAAAAAACCTCGTCAGAGATTAAAAAAATTGCATACAGACAATATAAATAAAATTAAAAGTGCATTCTATTGACACGCGACTTCACGCGTTGAATAATTCACTATCCACGATTACTTCACCGCTATTAAAACGCGTTCAAGACAATTGGTCGGAATTGTTCCAGCATGATCAACGACTATTAGTTTGGATTACGGAAATACTGTACGTGGGTAACAATTAACGTATGACACGGTTAAGGCATAAGTGAAAGCGATTGATAAATTATTTTATCATAGTTAAAATTACCTATGTTTTATAAGGAACTAGCGGACCCGACAGACGTTGTCCTGTCTACACGTCTTTAATTTGAAAATTTCAAACTTTTTTTAATAATTTTTTTGATGAAAATTATTATTCAAATTGTGAATTTAAACCATTCCCAGATCCCCTTGAACACACACAAAAAATATCATCAAAATCGGTCCAGTCGTTTGAGAGAAGTTCAGTGACATACACACTCACAGAAGAATTATATATATAAAGATATCTATAGAGTTAGTGGGACTTATGTATAGCAATGTATCCTCTTTCTCTGTTAATATAATTGAAGTAATAGCTAAAAGGATTTAACATTAGATATTTCTAATTAGATATATCACAATATGTAGACTTCATTTGAGATATTTCTAATTTTGTTCCTGCCTTTATTATTAGAAATATGTGTGAGTTTAGCTCTACATATAGCTAAATTACACTTAACCCAATTTGGAAATAAAGTATTCAACAACAAGTTACATTTTATAACCGTCTATATAATAGAAACGAAGTATGAAATAATTCGAATTAATTAAAGTACGGGATGTAAATCATATAAAAATTGACCCTCAAATAATAAAATAGATAAAACCAGCTATCCACGATAATAAAAACAATAAAAAGTTCGTGACAATTAACCCGTAGTTTAAAGCGGGCTGTACACGGATGCGCCTAATTCGGCGCAATTAAGCACGACCAAACGTGTGGAAGTGCAACGAACTAATTCCACTTCCTTCATAATGCTCTCTTGTTTTCACATATGTTGCATATCTTATACATTATTTATGATTGCTACGAAATTTTGGAAGTATGTTATATACCGGTAAATAATACAAAACTTATTTTTATATCGACTATATACATATTCTGTGATCAAAATTATTAAAACAATGTTTAATACTTTCTTAGATTTACGCGAATATTTGATATTTTAAATAAAACTATCTTTTTGGATTTTTTCGCGGATTTATTTAGATTTTTGGTTCCCGACGTTTCGAATGCTTTACGGTAATAATGGTCACGGGAGAGACTAAGGTGTTAGATCTCATGAATCAAAAATCAAAATAAATCCGCGAAAAAACCCGAAAAGATAGTTTCATTTAAAAATAAAATGATATTTAATAGAAATCAGAAAGCATAGCAAAAATTCATCGGAGTACTTTTATTGTAAGTGCAAAAATTTTTTACTCTTGTCAGTGGACGGCTGGACGGTTTTTTTTACGAAATTAATTTAGTTCATAGATAACTAGGCAATAAGCATCAATGGATGCACTGGCGTGAAGAAAGGGTAAGACGATAATTTTATTATATATATTTTTATTTATTCTAGTGGATCTAAGTCATAGATATTACTTAAAGTTAAAGCGCTATAGTTAATACAAAGTTAAAATTTATGAAATAAAATCGTTTAAGAAAAATAATATTGACCCTTAACTGTACATTATCTAACATAACAAAGCAATTCAATTCAAATAGTTAAATTATACGATAGACTATATAGTACGGTCATGAGTAATCTTTCAGTCATCGTTCACTTCAACGTGTCTTTCATTTCTTATACGACGAAACTATCATGAAATCATTAAGTGTTTGTTTTTTTATAATTTTAATACTACATTTTTAGTATACTACTAGCGACTCACTCTCGCTTTGCTTCGGATTCGTCCCTACAAAAACAAATCTATCCCACTTCCTCTATAAACGGGCTATCTATTGCAAAAATATTTTTTCAAATCGGACTAGTAGTTAGTGAGATTAGCGCGTTCAAACAAACAAACTCTGCCGCTTTATAATTTTCGTATAAATTAAAATCCTTGAAATTAAGTACATGTTAGTAAAATCCTTGAAGTAAAAAGTAAAGTAGTTAGGAAATCGCTCTTTTAGCGATTAGACTAGATTTCCTTGTATTATTCTACCACATTGTATATACTTTTTTCATTTTGGGTGTACAATAAAGGGTTTTATTAGTATTAAATAAAATATGTTTGGACATTAACATACATCACCATCTAGTTCCATGGTAAGCTACGAGGCTTGTGTTATGGATACCAGATAGTTGATACATTACACATATATATAACTTTAAATACATACATAATATTATAAATATAAACACCCATGACTGGAATACAAACATTCGTGCTCATCATATAAATGTACGCCTATAGCGGGACTCGAACCCGCGACAGTCGGCACAGCAAGTATAGTCATTACAAACTGAGCCAAACGTGTCGTCAAAATTATTACAGGTTCGATTCCCGTATGATTAAAATGGTACATTCAGTTAATTAGTAAATCCAATGGGCAAATATTAAACTCACCATTAGGCCGAAGGACACCAGCCATATAAGTAACAGTTGAATCCATATCTTAGTTGTGGTATAGATTTGCGAGTACATGTCGTAGTACGCTATCAATGTATACCTGAAATAGAATATCGAACATTTAGTCATGGGTCAGTTATCTATATACATACATATATAAAAAATGATGTGTGTATGTTCCCTATGGACTCCAAAAAGGCTGGAACGATTTTGATAAAATTTTCAGGCAATCTTCAGATTAGTCCAGCGAGTGATCCAGTGAAGTTTGGTAGTGATCAGAAGTTTGAACGCGGGCGAAGCTTAATAACAGCTTATTAACACATAATCTCTGTCTTACAAGACTGTATTTGGTAGGAAAGTAAAAAAACTAAATTTCGACAACAGCACCGCCTATCGAGCCCAATTATAGCTAAGAACAAGCAAGGTAACCACATAAGTACACAAAAACATTATCATAATCGGTCAAGTTGCTTACGAGAATAACTCCGTACACATGTATACCAGACTTTCATATAATATACCTACATAATACATATAAAGCTATATGTATGAGTAAATACAGCAGTAATGTTATTAAATAAAACAAAAAATTTATCCTTGTACTACGTCCTTTGTATCAAAGAAGAGCTTTCTCTGTACAAATATTTAAAACAGCTTAAAGTTAACAGCTTAAAAAAAAGTAATAACTAAGCGTAACAAATTTCATAAAACACCCGCATCATTGTAAAAAATATTCCCATAAAAAAGGTATAATAATTTACGCTTTTATTACTAAAAGTGTATAGTAAAATTAATTGGTAATGCTATAATGAGTCAGCTTTAACAGTCAGTTTTATTTATTGTGAGAACTGCTGCCCTTTTTATTTGAAGTCAGTCAAATATATAAGGACCTTTTGTTTTTATAACACACTTTATTGCAGAATTATGTATGGATTGAATGGTTTTTTAAGTATTTTATTTCATAATAATTATTGAGTCAAAGCTTTTTATAAATTTGTGAATGCTACACGCTTAGCGTGATATACAAGAAAGCTCCCTGTCATAGTTCAATTCGCGCACAAACACAATATGGGCACATCTAGGTATATATAAATGGGCAAAAACAAAGTAGTTCAGTACCTTTTTCTTTTTCTCCTCTTTTTGTGAACCGTTTTTTTTGTTTCTAAGGTAATGATTATAGAATGCCATTTTTTGAGACCATGCATATAACTCGACAGATGAATTCGCAAACATATTTAACACTAGCATTGCCCGCGGCTCCGCCCGCGTACAGGTGACCAAAAACTAAATTCTTAGGTTTTACATATAGTATACTCTTACATTACAGTTTTTGTGTTCTTTCTCAGAAATGAGATATTTTCTCGCTGTAAAAAGTATACTATATGTTGACCCGGATAACCAGCTATCACTATACCAAATTTCATCAAAATCCCTCCAGTGGTTTTTCTATGATGCGGTAACAGACAGACAGACAGACAAAAATTCTAAAAACTATAGATTCGGCCTCTGTATCGATAATAATGTCTATTTCAATAAGATTTTCCAAAAAATATTTAATATACAGATTCGGTTTAGTTACAATTTTATTATATGTATAGATGAATGGTATTTAATCAGCCGGATCAATAACCGATAAGGTTTAAAAAACGAACGGATCACTTGTTAACCAAAGTGGCTTTATCGGTGCTTAAAAAGCACTCAGCGTGAGAAATAACTGTTTGTAGTAGATAACTTTGTCCCTTAGTTATATCAGCTGTGACGAATAATCTGTTGACGTTATTTACAATGGTTCATTAATTAACCGACTGCCAAAAAAGAGGAGGTTCTATGTTCGTCTGTATATTTTTTATGCATGTTTACTGATTTCTCGGATATGCCTAGATCGCTTTTGCTCCTTTAAATTTTATTAAGGTAGGTCCCGAGATGGTCTCATATATATTTTTATGGTTATTTGGAGAAGGGAAAAGGGCTAAACACATATATATTTTAGATTTCTATCCTTCAAGAATTGTAGAAAGTTCCCTGGCACGTTTTAAAGCCATTAACCAGCGATGATTTTTCTTACTTATAATTCAACAATATTCAATTAATTATTTTAAAAGCAGGCATTTCTGTGTTTTAGCGCAGTGGGCATTGAGAGCACTTCTCCTATTTCATGTATATTATACGGTATACGTACTCATATTTCACATAGGTACATATATCTATACTAATATTATAAAGAGGTAAAGTTTGTGAGTTTGTGACGTTGTAGGGGGTAATCTCTGGATCTCCTGAACCGATTTAGATGAAATTTTGTAAGAAGATGTTTTAAGACCCTGGGAAGGACATAGGATACTTTTTATACGAAAATCATCCCTTAAGGGGGTGAAAATGGGGATGAAAGTTTGTCTTGGGAATCAAGCTAGGGACGAACCCGAGCGAAGTGAGGGTGTCGCTAGTATTTAATAACAAGAAAAATGAATTACTATTCAAGACTTAAGTTTGTATTTGACACAGCATACCTCAAAGTAGTCTATAATACTTCGGTCCATAAACGGTTTCTATGCAAAAAATAAACGTTCATCCATTTGCTGCGTAAAAGAAGGTCAAATCAATAAACCTACAAACATACTTTTGTATTTATATAAGGATTCAGATTATTATTTACACTACAGTATAAGGATAGATTGATTAAATTTTTTTTTCCGCTGAGCGATTATCGAGTAAAGCGCGATTAAATGTACAAAATTGTATAAATTACTAGCGATAGCCCGCGGCATCGTTCGCGTATTATATATATATATATATATATACACACACACACATATATATATAATTCCGCTTCTGAGTTAGTTTTTTTTAAATGGGGGATCTTAGCATTTGAGAAAAATAGGTAATAATCAGCTATTTTTCATCCCCAGTATTGTACTGACTAAAACTTTGAATTAGAATAGTTTTTGATCACTGTAACTTACAAATTTCTTTTTTTTTATTTTAAATAATTATTAAATTATATTAATATTTTAATATTTTTTTATTATCTTTTTTTACACTTACCTAATAGGGTTTAAATTTAAAAAAATACTCTCCTTAGCAAATACCTATCTATTATGAGGAACCAATCTCAGACCTCTTACTTCTCATGAAGTTTGTAGCATTTATAAATTTTAAGATTTCTCGATTAAATAGATTAATCAAGAAATCTTAGAATACTAATAGTAGTATTCATAACTCATAAACTATGAAAATTCGCGTAAAATACAAGGGGTGATTCGTATACCCTACGATACGAGGGACCTAAATTTTATTTTTGGGCGTCAAGTATATTATTGTTACCTGATTCTACGTTACGTGCGATTGTTTATTTTCAAAGTATTTTATGACGTGCGATGCGGTGAATGAAGCCGTAACATTCCACAAATTAGGTTGTTTTACAACTAACACGTGTTGTATGATAAGGAAAATTTAATTGATAAATATTTCCAAAATTATATATACACCTAATCTATACATATAATAAAATTGTAACTGAGCTAGATAGATATTTTTTGGAAAATCTTATTGAAATAAACATTATTATCGATACGGAGGCCGAATCTAGTTTTTAGAATTTTTGTCTGTCTGTCTATCTGTCCGTTACCGCATCACGGGTAAACCACTGGAGGGATTTTGATAAAATATGGTGTGGTGATAGCTGAATATACGGATCAATATTTAGGTTAGTATTTATCTCGGGAAAATATCTCATTTCTGAGAAGAAAAAACAAAAACTGCAATGTAAGAGTATACTAATATGTAAAACTTAAGAATTTGGTTTTTGGTCATCTGAACGCGGGCGGAGCCGCGGAAAATGCTAGTACAATTATAAAACTTAAAAATGACGTATACCTTCTTAATTTATTACGTTTATTTACTACGTGGATAGACTATTAAAAAAATATATTATAAAAAAACTCGACTGTATAAAAACTATGAAAACAAGTTGACGATGAAATATAGTATTATGCAATCGGAAACCTACATATAATGCATTATGTACATCTAATCATCTAGGTTTTATTTATTTTTTGAGCGGAACCCTAATTTTTTTTCTAAAATAAAAGTAGCCTAAGTTACTCCTTATAACATCAGCTATATACCAGTAAAAGTCCCGTTAAAGTCAGTCCAGCCGTTTTGGAGATTAGCCGGAACAAAAAGACAGACGGGCAGACAGATAGACAAAAATTTTAAAAATTGTTGTTTTCTTATAAGTACCGTATTAAATTTCAAATGCATTTAGTACAAAGCTTTTATTTCGACATTACAAACAGACACCTTAATTTTATTTGTATAGATGTATATAGGTAAAAGTATTTATGCTAAGAGAGAATAAAATATATCGCTTTAAAAGTTTACGATACTATTACTACTACGTAAATTTATTTGAGTTAAATTGTTTGAAACGATAGTGTTTTTGCATGAATTAAATAGAATTTTCTGCATAAATAATTATAATTGGTTCAATAATAATTAAAGCTCTATGATACTGTTGAAAAGCTTTAAGAAATAAATATTAATACTTTCTTAGATTTACGCGAATATTTGAAATCTATACATATAATAAAAGTGTAACTGATCGCTGTCTGTACAAGGAAGATATTTGAGAAAAACTATCATTGGAGGTCTTTATTTACGAAATAGAGCCCAAAACAATGATTTTTAGATTCTTTATCTGTTTGGCTGTGCGTTTGTGCGCGCTAATCTCAGAAACGGCTTAACCGATTTAAATGCGGTTTTTACTAATATATTGTGGTAAGCTTCACTTAACATTCAGTAATGGTTTTATTTCAATCGGTTCATAAATAAAAAAGTTACGCAATTTAAAGAATCACCTAGGGACGAACCCGAGCGGAGGATAGTTTTAAATTAAACTACCTTTTCGGAATTTTTCGCGGATTTATTTTGATTTTTGGCTCTCGACGTTCCCTTTGTATTTTCGTATTTTTTTTGTATTTTTGAAATCATTTTGTAATTTTGTGGGTAGGCATTGCCTGTAACTACTTTATAATGACGTTTAAGACGTTATAACCTTAGTCTCTCCCGTGAGCTATAAAATCAGAATAATTACATACTTTTAAA